CTTTGGTAAGAAGTTTATTCTCATTAAAAACTTACACAAGTAAAAATATATTACGCTGCTGTCGTAAGCGTTTATCAAAATCCATCCAGCAAAAACCTTCGCAGGCGTCTTCGGAACGGATACTGGTAGTTTTCCAATTACAGAGCATAATGCGACTCAGTGCCGCACAATGCCGAATTATGCTGATGCTTAATTGGAATGTGAATTAGTTTTCAAATGCATCAGCAGAGTGCGCTAAGTTCTGTGTTGAAAAAAAATATTCATAGAGTTAGCAACCTCATTAATGTATAAATAATGTGCTAAACAATAATAATTGGTTGAAAACTATTTACGCTTATTTTAAGTAATTTGGATTTTGATTATTTCATTAACATTTTATTACGTTTTGAGTAATTTTCTTTATTTTTATTATAAACAAATAAGATTGTGTCGTCTTCTTCATCTTGATAAATATGTTCTTTTCCACGAAAACATGGATGCGAAACGACGAAACGAAAGCCTTACAAATTTTTCAACAATAAATAATATTACGAACGATAAAAAATTTCGATCAATGCCAACTTAATTAAAAAACACTTGTCAATTTTCTGCCACTGAGTTGGTATTGATTGCGAGTATCACGCGAGAGCATTACTTTTGAGAGTGCTCAATTGTGCGAAGTGTTGCTGTAGTAGTTGGAACATTTTGAGCATTATGCGCTGTAATTGGAAAACTACCACTATTTGCCGGAGCTCAGGAGGCAAGCAGTTGTAATGACTCTCGCCGAAATCAATTATGCCTATGTTATAAGTACTATGTCGGCTATGTGTTGGATTCAATTTTTTTTAACTAAGATACATATTGTATTAGAGTGTGTAATGTTCATCAATTAAGTGTCAATGTAAAGTTAGTTCACGTAACCGCAGGATTGAGTATTTATTTTATTTTACAATAAATAAACAAAACAGAATGTATGTAAAACGATTTTTGTTCTAGCATTAAACCCACGGACAGCAATACAGTATTCAGAATTAAATCACTACTAACGCCACCTATTAGCACATCTCATGAATACAACATGAGTTTCTGTCGTATAGATGGCGCTCTTCGAAATTTATAGTAGCACTTAACATTACGACCACTTTGCTCCCATTTCCCGGGCTTTTATCTAAATTAATCTGATCGCAGTGTTGTGAACATATTTGTCGGAATTACATTTACTTATTTGTTATTATGTTTTGCTTAATAACATGAAAGTTTTCGACTGATTTGTTTTATGATAAGATTATCGTACGATATACAATCTTTATAATTTATTTGTATTGCTGGGGATGTAGTGTATAGTAATGAGTATAGATAATATATTTTTCGACTCTAATAATAAAAGTAAAACTTAATACTGTCATAATACGCTACATATATACATTATACATATATAGTAAATACAATGCGCTATCCGGCAAATGGAGTATTTTAGTCGAGTTCCCATGTATTCCTCTTGTGCGGGATTTACTTGTAATTTACATTCATAATTTCTCAAAAAAAGTTAAGAATGTCAATAAATTATATATCTCATATTATATTGCATGTAGTCTGTTACTGTTCTTTTTTCTATATTTTATGTTTCACAGAGCACAATTCTTTTATTTTAAAGCTAAAACCAATAAATAAATTCACGAAGAATCAAAACCTTTTGGTATTTTTTTGTAAATAAGCTTGTAACTATTACCAAATAACCAGTAAATGGTAACGAAACAATGGCATTAATGTCTCGTGAATTATAGGGAAATTAACGTCCGCTTCGTTAATCATTCTTTGTAGGCAAGATGAGCTTTTGCGGATGAAGAAATTATAGTTTATATTTATATTTAATTCCGTAGTAATTTACGTACTAAACAGATTTTCGATGTTTCCATCAGCAATATGTTACTAGAATCGGTTTTATATGTAAATCACGCATTCATATATGTTACGACTGCTAGATTTCTTTGTGGCTAGATTATTGGGTGGAATAAATATAGAGCTGATAAAACATTTTTTTTTTTAACAATTCAAAAAACAAAATCTACCTATCTCAATTGAAGTACCTCCTAAATTTATGTGCATGTCAATTTTCTTTTCTTATGTTACAGGGGGTAATCTTATCTGATGCAATTATACCGCTGCCAATAGATACTCACATTTCCAGAGGGCTCGCAAGTACGTTGCTGGCCTTTTAAGAATGAGTATGTTCTTTTCTTTAAGGACGCTAAGTCGAATTGATTTGGAGATACATAGGTGGGCAGCTGGTTCCACATTGTGGTCGGGCACCACACACAAAAACGCTCATAATCATAATAATTTCTACATCTGTACATATTTGTAAAAAATCTCCAAACATTAGACCTAGCAGCTTAAGTGTGCGACTGTCGCTGAATGTCGAGAATGTCGGCAATGCACCAATGGACTTTTCTTCCTATGTGTGAGTTTAACACTTGGTCGTACGGTGTGTAACATAGTGAGGAAACCAGCATGTATTTAGGTGATATTAAATTTAAAAGAATATTAATAATCGACGACACGTGTCAGGGACAGAAGCAAAAGAAATCTTATGCCTTGGCCTAATCTTAACTTATTTAGGCTTGTAGCGTACGCGCTTGGACCATTGAATTATTACTTTTACACGCTTTATATTAGCTTCACCTGTATGTATGTATGTAACCGACTCCTTCGGACTCGATTTTGACCCACTTTAAACGGACAGATTTAATTCAAACTTCGTACACTTATAAAGAATCAGCGACAATATAATAATTTCATAGGTTTATCTCGAAAAAACAATGAAATTTTTTTAAGACCACAAAGCAATACGATTAAATTGAGACAACACGTATTGCTGCTAGGACTAAAAAGTGGAAAATAAATATAGTTTAAAAAAACTAAAAAACGCTAAGCGTGTTTTATAGTTTTTTTAAAACTATATTTATTAAACTAGGTAGGTAGGTGTATGAAATTAAAGTGTCTTCTGAAAAAAAAACATCTTTATGTAATGTGAAACTAAATTTTAAGTGATACAAAAATAAAAAGTAATAATAACTCTGTAAAGTTCTCCACGATTCAATTTGTATAATGTTTTCTATTTGCTCTTTGACTGTGGTTGAGGCCTTTTATAAAAACGAGAGAGTGCAAAACCAAAATCAACTTAATATGTAGACAAATAAGATTTTATTTATAATGCAACACGAAACCAAAATATCACATTTTTTAAATATTGTAATGGCGCCCAAATTCCACGCCAAAGCAAGGGAAAATCTGCCATCTTGATTTCAACTAAAATAAATTGTGCACACATTTAGTTAGTTGTTTTTATATCATTAATATTTCAGATTTTATACTATTATGGCAACTTTTTAAATACCTTATTTAATCTAAAAAAAGTGCGTGCGTACATAGCACTCATGTAAGAAGTGAAACTTCTTTGGCAAACTAATTTTTAACTCTAGTTCATATTTATACAAATCTAAAACTTTAGATTTCCGAGACTTAGAGAAAGGGAAAAAGGATATGTTAGGAATTTAATGAATTTAATTGTCATTAAAATATTAAAAGCGATAAAAATATTATAAAATTCGTCATTTGAGATTTCAATAAATTATTTTGCATAAAATATAAAATACTTATATTTCATAAATGCTCTTTACGAAATTTTAATTTTAAAAATAGAATTTCTATACGGTAATTAACCCTTCTCACTCTCTCTTAACCGATCGTTCTTTTCTTGGACAAAAACGCTGCACATCTTCGTGACGTTCCATAAAGATTTTACCCTCATGCGCATTTAAAGAATTTCCCATATGGATTTATAATTTCAGAACGCAAGGTTACAGAACAGGAAACGAAAAATCTACCTAAAAGGCAAAACACACCAACTCCCAACAGTGAGTGGTAGCAAATAATAGTACTGACGCTGCTGCTACAACGTCTCTCATAAGTCAATATACAAGCACTTTGAAAGTTTCTTACGGTATGTACCTGTGAGTATACATATAGGCTTTAATAAAATATGTCTAGATCCTCTGTACAAACCATACAGTATGAAGAGTTTACGGTTTTTAAAGAAGCGTTTGTTTATGGTTTTTCCTAACGATTCAGTACGTAGAGATTTATATAATTCAACGATCACTTAGATTCCACTAGTCTATCATAAAACTCGTCCTTCGGTTACTGCTCTAATAAACTTCAGTTTATGGCAAATTTATAGTGATTGTCGATTGATTGCCTTCGAGTGTTATGGCGGAGTCGTAAACTCAATATTAATGATGCAATTAATTTGACTAGCTCCATGGGCTTTTGTGCAAGAATGCTCTAATAAAAACCTAGGGGTTGAGACAAAAATATTGCGATATGCATAATCCGAATTTGAAAAGGAATGACAGTACCAAGTCCATACAAATCAATTTGGCGTATGTGGCTGTGGGTCACGTCAATCGCAGTTATTTTGTATCCGGCTCTAAGAAGAGAACAACAAGAGAACGTTAAAATATCTTAAACAATTTTTATTAATTACACGATTTACTACTTAAGGCCGCACTATGTTTTGAAAAATAACGCCGTAACAAGGAAATGCCGTATCTTTTTTTTCAGAAGACATATTCAATTCCATTTTATTATATATAAACAAGATATTAAGTCATATATAGTATATCAAGCTCAGCTGTGAAATAATTAAATTAAATTAGAAAAAAACTATAAAGTTTTATAAGAACTATACTGACAATACTAAAGAGCTTCTATTTTCTTACTGATGTCAATATGTCAGTTGTTAATACCATCTGTCAAGTGCAAGCTGCCAAGCTTTACATTGTGTCAATGTCACAGAAAATTCTAATGCTAAATTCTAATTTAAAAATATTGTGATGTTTGTGTGTGATGGTCGTTAAAGTAGTTAGAAAGAATTTATTTCTTTTAAAAGTTAGCTAAGAAGATGTAAATGTAAGAGAGTGGTATTTAAATATTGTTTTAGTGTAGTGTTTGTGTTCAAAATGAAAGTAGTTGAAGCAAAAATTGTTGTATTGGGATCGCAAGGTAAATTCTAAAACATTGTTCTTTTTTTATTTAATATGATCATATCTCGCGGCGTTAAAACTTGAATGAAAAACGTTCATCTTGTATGCAAAACATTCTTATATTAATAATGATGTCTATGTTATTTATGTAAGTGTTATGTTTTAAAGGTTTATATCAAGTAGATATGTAACTTAATAACATGTCTGAGTATTAGATATATGTATAATGCAAACAGTCCATATTAATGACTGTTAAGTATAAGTAATTAATTAGTCATCACAGAAATCCGTTTTGTAGTATATAAATATAAAGAGAATTAATTTTATCTTTTAAAAAAAATACTGTATAAAACAACTTACTTAATATTTATGTACAAATAAAATAGGATTTTTTTTGGTCTTGTCTTATAAGAAGGAGTATGAATACAAAATCATACAAGTCATTTTTTACTGTGAGATTTTATTTGATTTTTTTATAATTAACTTAAATTAATTATTTATTACTTCATATAATTTCATTTGTAGTTATTTAATAACATGTGTTAAAAAAAAAAAGTACTATCAAATCCTTAGCTTCACTTTGCATTGTGTTACTACAGAACCAATAAGGAAGTCCACACAAAGGTTCAATTTATGGCAATTTAAATTAGAAATATTTATTACTGTGAGGTAATCAGTATAACCCAAATGCTAAGTTTCAAAACATGTAATGCAACTTGAAAAAGAATTCAACCATATAAAAACGTGTTCATTTGTAGATTATTTTCTGATGAACTGAGAACATATAGTTGAAAATTCTTTAATATAAAAGTAATTTACTGGGTAATGTGTGTAATTGAAGCAATTTTGTGATGATGCAGTTGATGTTTTATCAATCAGTTAATGTTATATGTAATTAATTCGCATGGATTTTAAGGGTGAGATTGAAAGTTAAGCCTTACAATGCCTAACAGACTGTTTGGTAAAATCCAATATGTCTGTGATATATGGAAGTGACACTTACACCTACACACTTACAAAGTATCAACCCTGAATCACACCCTAATTTCTCAATAATATTATATTACCAGTAACAACTGTTTAAAAAAACTGCACAAATATATTATTCTCCTTTCTGCATTCCTGGAAACAGCCAAGTTCACTTTATAAGTTTGGATTTTCACAAATAAGAAACCTAGAATTATTAAAATCAGTGCATCTGGCCAGTTTTGTAAGTGTTATTGATTAATATCATTATTTCTTTTCCCATTAACATTCAAGAAGCATTTTGTGCTATTAATAAAAAAAAAATTAAAATATCTCAATGTAATAATGTGTTCTTAATTTATATGTTTATAAAAATGTATTATAATAGATTTGGCTTAAATATTATTTTTATTTATTACTTATTAAGAATTTCTAGCAGAAAATTAAATTTGTTAATGTATGTTGTACAGTGATAGAAATACTTAGACTATGGTGAATCAAGTTGAAAGTTATATAAGCAGCTTTTGCAAATAGTAATTTGATATTATAATCCTATATGAACTTGATACGGCAGTGTCCTGGGTGCCCTAACCACAGGCTAAACATGGTTTAAAATTTAAATTACAGTAGCCTTGAAATGCTTACCATTGTATTAAAAACTTAAAACCTATCTACCTATAATGATAGTATAGTCCTTTAAATTGAGCATACACACAATTTAAAGGAGGTATATCTTTTTTTTTTAAATGGAAAGGCTAACGAGGCTGCAGGATAGCCATAATCCATCTACATGGCTTCTACCTCAGCCCGTAGTCACCCATGTTGTTAGTGTAACCAGACTTAAATGGAGGTGTACACTTACTTATATAATATGTATATAGATTAACTTCCCTTATAAGATAACATATTAGACTGTTGTGTGTTTTATTTACTTCGACTAAAGTGACAGTAATCCCAGCCAAGAGATCAGTAGTCGCACCATGATACGAAATCGTTGCTACTTTGGGCTTAGAAAATATTTCTGATTGTGGCTTCTCAGAAATAAATTTTCGAGCGAAAGATTATTTTAAGAATTTGTGTCCTGTTTGCGAATGTGTTTGGCGTATTCAGTTCAACGAAGAACTTTATAACGTAAGTTTAAGTTGAAGACGCCAACTTCGCCAATTCATAAACTGCAATAGGCTCAATTGGTTGGGATGGGACATGTCCACCGAATGGCGGAGGATAGAACCACAAGTCACTGATCTCATAAGCTGGTGGCAAAAGAAAACCCGGTAGACGAAGTCTGCGTTGGTGGGATGGAGTTGTCAAGTACCTCGAAACAATAGGTGTTGTGAAGGTGCACGCAAGAAGCACGAGATAGATTGCGGAGGTCATTAATGATGATTAAACTGTTGTATCTTAATTTAATATGAGATATTTTATATGAACTAAAAACCAACTACGAAAATACTTAACTTATATTTAAACCAAATAAAGATTCTTACTATTATAACTGAAGCTACTTAAATCACTTTAAGATAGATAAAGGCATTCATTCTCCTCTTCTAAGGTTAAGGAACGAGGTTGGATAGAAGTTTTTCTTTGACGGTAGATGAAGACTTTTCCTACGTGTTACGAACTTTTTCTATCATACCAAAATCAATTTACCAGTATATATTATAGTTTAATTACAAATTGTTATTGATCAAATTTGTTACTCAATAGCTACAGATTATTATTTTTAAAAGTAAATTTAGTTTGCATTGAATCATATGAACCAGTTTAGTTGAATAAGAAACATTAATTTACTTTTCAAAATTTTAGTTAAAAAGGGCCTTGTGCATTTTGCAATCACTGCAGTTTTTAATCGGATAAAGACAGCTGGGCTTATCAAATCGCAAATAGTGATAAGTTAAACCCAAGATTGCTTGAAATATCATATAGCACGTGACTCACTTAACAATTTTCTATGCACTAGATAACACTGATCTCAAGAAATTAACTCCAAAAATTAAAAATACGATAATAAATATACTCAAACCCGTTTACGACGACATCGTTTAGACGCCATACCGGTTATATATTGACCAAAATCAAAGGGCCCGTCTGAATTCTATTGTATTAGGTACTTAATAACAACGTCATCGGCTGTTACGACTATCGGCTTTACAACCAAATACGAGTAGTCCCTTCGATGTGCTTATAACAGGTTTTGACTGTATACAAAGCAGAACAAAGCTTAACTTTTATAACAATGAAGTTGATGCTAAAAATCTTTAATTAAATAATAATTTAAATGATTTCATAAAACATAGTCAATATTGTGTAATATGTGTGTTACTATGCCAGTCCATATGTTTGAAACTGGTTTTAATGATTTAATAAGCCAGTCAATTTTAACGCAGTGGGTGAACTTGTTTAATAGTATTGTATATTTATGTAACTTCATGTTGTATATAGCATTGAAACGTAATTACGTGTCGAACTAAAAACAATTGTTCCATTATAAAATAAAAGGATAACACATAAACAAAACGTTATTGTATAAAATAATCCTAAGTCAAAATTTTATAGCAAACCTTTTGCTGGTATTGCTTGTGTCTATACTTTGACACAGAGGGCGCTATTTCAAAGTTTAGATACAAAAACTTCGTGTAGATGGCGCTAAATCCTGTACTGATACTTGTAAAACGCGCTATCATTTTGATTTCATTTTGCCTTATATACTCTAGAGTTGTAAATTTCAGTATCGCTTCTCGGCCTTTTGGCTAAGATCAAAGTGTAGTATCTGTTCTTTTCAGCTTAATATCTGAAAGTTCCCGCATAGCGGGACCAGTATATTAAACTGATTTTTGGAAACTGACGGGATGTTCGGGGCTCGCTCCACTCCTGTCACGGGTCGGCCCGGCATTGCAGTGCCGCCGGGATCGGCCCACATTATACGTTTGACAAATATAAATAGAGCTTTTAATTTCCTATAGAGTTTAGACGACTGCGAGTGAATCTGAGGCACGCCGCACGAGCCGTGGTTATTTGACTTAAAATTGCTTTTAGTCAAATAATCACGACTGACGACTCGGTGGCGTGCCTCAGATTCACTCGCAGTTGCTACTCGCTATTATTTTGCACGTGTTTATGTTTACCTCAGCCAGGTTATTATTATGCATCTACATGTTATCATTTGACATTCTCAAATACTGTTTTAGGCATGCGCAGTTTCTTCAGTAATTACTGTTACTAGAGCTGTTGTATTGTTTATCGTATTTGTATTCGGTTGAATACTGAATATATTGAATAATAATTAAGTTTCATCTATTCCTTGAAACATTCATTCATTTTTACTTATTTTACAGAAATAATTATATATGTTTTGAATTTTCAAAGACCTCATAGAGTAGAGGTCCTCCTTTTCCAACTGGCTCCATCTCTCTCTATCTTGAGCATTTTTCTCCCATGCTTCTCCACCAATTATTGCTCGTCAGCCCACCGAGCAAGCATCTCTTTTCCCTGGTGGCCCTTTCCACGTTATTACCCTTTTTGTCCATCTGCCATTGTTCAAGCGAGCGACTGGCCCGCCCACTTCAACTTAAGTTTTATATTACTGCATCAATAACTTTTGTTTTATTTCTATACTTCTTATCTTGTCCTTTAGTTTAAAATGTAGTACACTACGTTCCATTCCTCGTTAACAAATTGTTTGTGTTCGAGTCATAGGGAGCGTTCAAATATTACGTCACGCAATTTTTGGAGATTATTTAACCCCCCCATTAACGCCCCGTAACGTTTTTCTGTACCCCAGTACAGTACTGTACCCAAGTATAGTAAAACGTTTCGTGACCACCTAGTGACTCTTTATACCTCAAGATACCATTATGTGGTGTCAATCCCCGCCCCGATTCGTAACGTTTTACAAAAGGACCCCCCCTCCCAAAATTCGTTACGTTATACTTGAATGCTCCCATATATCCATGATTGACTACCGTAGCAACGACATGGCAATACACGTGTCTAAGGCATTCTTCTTTAAGTATATTGGAGAATATTTACTTACTTGGAAATTATAATTATTTCAGGTGTGGGAAAAACAAGTCTAGTGGTGCGATACATTGGCAAGATGTTCTCAAAACATATATCACCAACCATAGGTGCCTCGTTCTTCACATGTAATATTAATGTTGATGATTCAAGGGTTAAATTGCAGGTAATGTTTATTTAAATACTAGCTCAAAACACACACAATTTAGGCGAAAAATAATAAGTCTAATAACATCAAAGCAACAATAAATTATAAAAATTAAACTTTAACAAAAAAGACATCGAATATTCAATGATTTCTTAAAGGAAAGGCTGAGATTCAGAAACGAGAAACAATTAGCTCCGTCAAATTATAATTGTGAAATTGGAACCCTATGGTAATTACAGTACAGGTGCTATTCTCCTTAATCGAAAATACACAAAAAAGTGCGTGCGTACAAAGTACACATGTCAGAAGTGAAACTTCTTTGGCTAACAAATTTTTAAGTCTTGTTCATATTTATACAAATCTTACAACATTAGATTTCCGAGACTTAGAGGGAGGGAAAAAGGAAGATATGTTAGGAATTTTATGAATGAAGAAGTGTCGGAAATTATTATTTTTTAAATTTATTCCTTCGATGATAAAAACACGTGGCAGTTTAATTTACAATTCGTCATTTGATATTTAAATAAATTATTTTGCATAAAATATAAAATACTAATACATACATATTTCATAAATTCTCTTTACGAAATTTTAATTTCAAAAATAGAATTTCTATAAGGTAATTCGCCCTTCTCACTCTCTCTCAATCGGTCTCAATCGCTCTCTCCCTTTTCTTCAACAAAAACGCTGCACATCTTCGTGACGTTCCGTAGAAAATTTACCCTCATGCGCCTAAAAAAGTTTCACTTCAAAAATCGATTAGCCATTTCAGCGGAGTATAGTTCGACTGACACGAATATTTAATAAAGATTTACTTTTAGGTATGGGATACAGCTGGCCAAGAGAGATTCCGGTCAATGGCCCCGATGTACTATAGGAATGCTAACGCGGCGTTGCTCGTCTATGATATAACGAGTACCAGTAGTTTTGCAGCCATCAAAGGTTGGGTGAAGGAGTTACAGAGGTGAATATAAATTGGTTTAGACTCCCGATGTGTGGCATTTTGGCGTGTTTATATGATTATCTTTTTATAACAACCAACCCGTAGTCAGAAATCAGGTCGTCTGTGTGCTTATAGTTAGGCATGAGGCTGTTTGAAATAAATTTAAAAAATCAGAATCATTTTTTTTTATCTAATATATAAAATTCTCAAGTTCACAATGTTCTTTCCCATACTCCTTCGAAACGGCTTGACCGATTCTTATGAAATTTTTTATGCATATTCAGTAAGTCCGAGAATCGGACAGCATCTATTTTTCATCCCCCTAAATGTTAAGGCTGGTCCCACCCCTAAATTTTTATTTTTTAGACAAAACTTTTTGTTTTATTTTTTTATGATACAGAATATAAAAATACATTCAACCCTTAATTGTCACCCCTCTACGATCAAACCCTATTTTTTATTATAGTAGATCGTTATTTTTATTGAACTAAAAATATGTTTCCTAGAATTAAGAATATACATGGCAAAACAAGATTTGCCGGGTCAGCTAGTATATGTATATTATATTATGTTAGTTTTAGGTTTTATTTTTATTTTTGTAGATCGCGTTATAAAATATATCATTATGCAATAAATTATGATATTTATATATAATCCTTCATTTCAATTCCTATTGTATTTTCAAGTCATTGTTTTGATTATATAAAAATTGCTATGAGTATACAATATGACATGAAAATATTATGCCAATATAAAAAACATCCAAACAAAAGGTTTATTATGTAATGATCCCTAATCCTTAATAACAGTGAATTGAGAATACAATAGGAATGGAGATCGGGGTCTAATAGGACCTTATGAAAATCTCAAAAACAATGAAAAGAAATTGTAAGTTAATTATAAAGGCTTTCTTGGAACAAAAACTGCGCTAATTCTTTGCAAAAAAATGATGAATGTAATACGATATAATAAGGCCCCTAATAACACTAAAATGAATTATTTGAATTTTTTATGCTATATATTATGAAAAATAATAAGAATGAATTTATGAAATACTTAGGAAGCTAATTTTTACAATGTATGTAAGTTCCCGAACCGTGCACTGTGGCTGTCATTTTACTGATTCGTCGATATTTTTTACGTTGTAACGCCTTTAGTACACCTACGCAATCGCATGCGGCAGCGAAACGACGAAAAAACTGTAAGTTGTATGGCAACGTTTCGCATGTGTTTTGTCTCGCTCTAATATATAGCTAGATGAAATAGTTGCGTCCTTGTCGGTATTGTTTCGCAAGTAACTGCGAAATGGCTGTTACACAGACGCAGACGTTTCGCTAGTAAAGTTTCGCATCGCAAGGCGTCACCACGCGTTCTGTCAGTGAGGACAGAATTTCGCACAATGGAAGCCGAAAATATTGAATTATTATTGAATTTGATTCGAAATTATCCCGAATTATATTTAGTTGGGCATGTTATTGTGCATTATAAAATCCTCTTCAGAATCTGAAAGCGACGACTGGGACGACTGAGATGACATTCTGAAACGACATCTGCACCTACAGCCCACGAAAGCTACAATGACATATCCTTGCGAAAAACCTGCAGTGTACTAACGTTCCGCAGATATTTCGCTACCGCAATTATTTCGCAAAGATTCGCAGCCGCATACGAACGCGTAGGTGTACTAAAGGCGTAAGACAATAGGTGTTGTCGTACGGTGAATGTTTTCCCTTTCAGTTGCGGAGAAAAATGGCGAAAATCTTTGAAATTAAAATTTATTATTAAGCAGCTACCAACGTTATACCATGCTCCACATCTTCTACACTATCTTCTATTATAGTTATAAAATATATGTTTTTAAGGCAGTTTTTGCCGCGCACCACCACTATGTGGAACCAACTGCCCACTGAAGTATTTCCGAACCCATTCGACTTAGGGTCTTTCAAGAAAAGAGCGTACCAATTCTTGAAAGGCCGGCAACGCACTGGCGAGCCTTCTGGCAGTGTGAGTATCCATGGGCGGCGGTATCACTTAACATCAGGTGAGCCTCCATCCCGTTTGCCTGCTATTAGATAAAAAATCAAAGTTTTATTTTATAACCGCTTTGCTATATTCCAATATATGAGGGTAGCAATGAATTTGTAAATATTTATATAGGAATATTTTTTGTAAATCATCCGAGGGTGGACCCAGCAGTCATCCATTCGTTAACCTGTTGAATGTAATACTAACTTATGGATTGCAGTAATGTACCTGAACCAATGGTGCTGGCGTTAGTGGGCAATAAATGTGATTTGGAATCGTGTAGAGCAGTTTCACATAATGAGGCGACGCAGTATGCTACGTCCATAGGAGCGGCGTATTGTGAAACGAGCGCGTTGCACGATCAGGTATTTCCGGTTTTTTTAAGCGGTTAATAAAATATTGATCAGTGTTAGCCTAGTGCCTTCAGCGTGCGACTCTCATCCCTGAGGTCGTAGGTACGAGCCCCGGCTGTGCACCAACGGACTTTTTATATGCGAATTTTACATTCGCTCGAACGGTAAAGGAAAACATCGTGAGGAAACCGGCTTGCCTTAGACCCAAAAAGTTGACGGCGTGTGTCAGACACAGGAGGCTGATCATGATTCATGCCTATTAGATTGACAAATTATCATGAAACATAAACAACAAACACAAATCTAATGTCCAGACCTAAAAAAGTTGTAGCGCCACCAAAATATTTGAATTTGACAAAAAAGAGCCCAAATGGTGAGTTTCCATGGGCGGCGGTATCGCTTATCATCAGATGAGCCTCCTGCCCGTTTGCCCCCTGGTGAAATATATTATGTAATTATTAAGTTATGAACATACATACAATAAAGTTGAGAAATAAAAATATATAAACCTATATTTATTAACCTATATATATTTACTATATTATTAATTATTTCTTTCAAATATTGGAATCTATAAAAAGTAACTTGCTTTGAATAAAATGATGAATTGCTAATCGTAAATGTCTTTTGATTTTACGTAAAAACTATGTGGTTTTAATAATAAAGTACATAATATACGTATATTCTTTAACTGATTTAAATTTTTACTTAATTCGATGTTGTTGTGCAAAAAATGCCATGGTTATGGATACTAGACCAATTATAAACGGTGAGGAATTGAATCTGGATGATACAACTGTATTTCTCGGAATCACCATGGATTCAAAACTTCAGTGGTCCCCTCATATTAACGGATTGGCGAAGAGACTTAGTTCTGCAGCCTACGCGGTTAAAAAAATTCGCTCACTAACTGATGTCGATACAGCTAGACTTGTCTATTTTAGTTACTTTCATAGCTTAATGACTTATGGCTTATTATTATGGGGTCATGCTGCTGATGTCGAAACTATTTTCATCCTGCAGAAGAGGGCTATTCGTGCAATCTATAATTTAAAATGTAGGGAATCTCTTAGAGATAAATTCAAGGAAATTAATATACTTACCTTTCCCTCGCAATATATTTATGAAAAATTATCTTTACAGGGTATAGACCAAGTATTCCTAAGTACAGCGACATCTCTTCTGAAGCTGTCCAGCACTAACCTTGTCTCTTCTATGCGTTCATATGACTCTGTGGATGGTGACGAGAGACTACCTATTGGTGAGTAAGGGAACGTTCAAGTATTACGTAACGAATTTCGGGGATATTTAAAATTTTATTTTAAACAAAATATTAAATCCAGTTAGGGAGCGTTCAAGTAATACGTAACGCAATTTTTGGAGATTATTGCCTTTCCTTGAATGATGATTGAGCGTTTTCTAAAGCAGTTTTTGCCCCGCACCACCGCTATGTGGAACCAGCTGCCCACTGAAGTATTACCGAACCAATACGACTTGGTCCTTCAAGAAAAGAGGGTACCAATTCTTGAAAGGCCGGCAACGCACTTGCGAGCCTTCTGGCAATGTGGGTGTCCATGGGCGGCGGTATCACTTAACATCACGTGAGCCTCCCCGCCCTTTTGCCTCCTGATGTTTTTTATATACTTAATAAACAAAAAGTATCAAAAAAACAATAACTTTCATTCATCACACAATACAATTCATTATTTAAATGGATTTGTATCATTTTCACGTTTGCAACACCGTCGGTATTATGGCCAAGCTGATCAGGCGTTCGCGTCAAGGCAACAATTAAAGTTAGAACCTATAAATCCGTACTTTATAAATCCCCAATAATATTTGAATTCAAAGAAATAATTTAGTGTTAATTAAAAAATCATATATTTAATTATGCATCGTTTAAAATATTTAAGAATCTAGTTTTTTTTTTCGTGGGAAAATGCGTTACGTATACCCTCCCGCGTCAAGGTTGCCTGATGGTGAAAGGTTATGTGGGACTCGCTGCTGTGCATACCCACTAAAACCCCACGGCGCCACCTGCAATCGCCCGGGGCAGGTAACAGCTTAGCCTTCCGGATCCAGCCACGTGATCAGCCGTTAATGTCACGGCCACGAATGATGTGGAATGTACCTTAGCACATCGGCCAATTCGCCCTAATTTGTGAAGCTGGAGGAAGTCGGGTACAATTCTTGCAGGGATGCGTCAGTAACCCCAACCTTTAAACTAAATTTATATTTCCATAAATATAAATCCATCATCCCATTTGTCCCTCCTTCAAGAACGCGTTTTGGCCGAAACTCATCGATATCCAGATTGAGCATTCTGATAAATGAGCTAGGTCTGGATATCCATAGTTGCTCTCCTCACACTTTGTAATCCATTTTCCTTTAGTTTTTATAACGTGTATTATTTGTCTATAAGTGCTATTCAGATTTAATCTTGTATTTTATTTTTCTAGTGTTGGCAATCGTTTGTAAATAAATAAATTTCAGGGACACCAACAGAAGAAACAGCAACTCATACAGGCAAAGTTGAGTTGCCGGCGTGGCAGGACGACCGGGTCGCTCACGGGGAGACGCAAAGAAATATGTGTTGCTAGCATTGAAATTAACAATTTAAGCGTGCACTTTTTATTATGATAGAAGTTTTATAAAGGAAATTTATTTAAAAAAATTAAAACGTGTTATGGTAAAAGATTAATAGGCATGTGACGTTGAAGGTTGAAGGTAAAATATTTATAGAAATAATTGGTTAACAATGTATATTTTAAAGGGTTTAAGAATGTTAAAATTGTATAAAGAAATTGTGACAGGATTATGTATCTATTAACATAATTCTTTTTTTCAAACTGAAGGTAAATGGAATTTTTAAATTTAGAATATTTTAATAGTGTGTCTAATTTTACAGTAAAAGTACGCGCTTGAATTGATCTAATTATTTGTATTTATGACTACATTCCATGTATATAGAATTTTTAATGATATTAAAAATCACTGCTATTGATGTATTCCTTAGGGGAGCGTTCAAGTATTACGTTATGATTTTTTTTGTCCTTTTGGAAAACGTTACGATGCGGGGCGGGGATTGAATTACGCGTTACTGTTAGGGGGCGTCCATAAATTACGTGAGGTGTTTTTTTTACATTTTCTGTGACTTCCCCCCTGGTGAGATGTCGTGAGATTTTATTCAACCCCCTCCCCCAATCTCACGTGAGATTTTTCAAAATGTGGGTTTCTTACGTAAACGTGGATTGTTATTGTAAAAAGAAAAAAAAATTGCTTCGTGCTTTTATTTACGATTAAGACAAAATAAGTGAAATGTTTAGCGTTTAGGTATGGAGTTAGCGAGAAGTTGCAGAGATGGCCATTAGGGTCAACCGTTTTCCTATTTTTTTTTCAATCAGAAAAAAATTGCGTGATATTTCCCGAGACCCCCCCCCTCTTTCCAACGTAAAATTAAATGAGATTTGACTCGACCCCCTCCCCCCCTTAAAAACCTCACGTAATTTGTGGACGCCCCCTTAATATTATTTTCTACTACACATAATAGTAACTAAAGAGTCACTAGGTGGTCACGAAACGTTTTACTAGACTTGGATACAGTACTGTACTTGGGTACTGAAAAACGTTACGGCGAGTTCATGGGGGTCAATAATCTCCAAAAATTGCGTTACGTAATACTTGAACGCTCCCTTATCAGTAGCGATCCCTATTTAGATTTTTGTATCCAATTTTGATGTCGTAAACTTGGGATCGCGCGGTACAAAAATTCTTATTAGAATTGTACTGATTTCGAATCGGACATTTGATACAGTACCGGTAAATATTGCATAATAGATAGAAATTTATTGTTGATTCGCGCGGAATAGAGCAGTAAAACCGAAAAAAAATACAAACTTCACGGTGTGCGAAAAAGACAACGTTATACAACTCCGAAATTAGTCGATTGACTCTTTCCAATGGTCGATGCAATATCGCCGGGCACTGTTGAATATATACGTACAACAAAAGTTTGCTATTTCAAAGTGTTACTTTGTACACTGCCAGGGCAGTTTTTATCCAGGGATGTCCATTAAGAAAGTATTATTAAGTTGCATTATACTTCTGGACGGATGGAATCGATACTTAAAGTATTTTTATGGATCTATACAATTTTTGAAGACTTCAAACTCCACTATTATTTTGTTTATATTTTATGCCATATTTATGTTGTACAAAATATATGTTTATATGTTTTTGCTATGGGTAAAGTCGTCTTATATTATTTTGACCAAGTTGTTAACAGGTCTATTACCCATGTTTTACCGAATACCTAAACTCTTTCTAAAAAAATATTCGTGAAAAGCAAAGTATTTAAAATATATTTTGTACAACTATTTCTTGCCAAGCTAAAAGACAAATGTCAATATTTTTATATTGTATTAATAAATTGTTTTATCTAATCTAATGCGTTTTTATTTGCGCCAGTTTAATTCAACGACTAAACCTCACTAAGGCGTATTATAAATAATTATCTTGAATAATAATCTCTTTCAATATAATTGATAATAAAACTAATTTTAAAACGTTTATTTGTTAAGTATGTCTAATCTCAAGAACTACTGGTTGGGATTGTAAAATTGTTATATAGTTGGATAGTTTGATTTCCTTGGCTTTTTTTTTTAATTTTATTTTGAAGTGATTTTTTATATGAATTAAAAACGTACGTTAATAAAAAATTTATTCAACAATGGAAGGCACTTTCAGTCTTACAACTCGTCTTTCTCGCTATCATCATATCCTTCATCATCATCAACTTCTTGTGATGGTGGCTGCATACCAAGACCACCGCCAAAACCGTAAGGGTCTGAGCCGTGTATCTGAAATCACAAAAAATAAATAAAAATTTTTCTAGTTTAAATTGTTGTTTCTTAACTTTGGTTAAAAAAAATTATACATATTATCAAATCCAAAATACACGTCTTTTTGTGACGCTGATGAATTTCGGTATAGAAATGGAATCATGAATTTTATTGGCTTTTCGCAAAAGAGCTATCAGCTGTCAGCTATCGGTGTAAGAATAAACATGTTGCCCTCAAAATTAACTTTAATATTTTTATTCATAACTTTAAAATAAATAGACATGCTAAAAAAAATTATTAGACCTTTGTGTATTCTTTCTCCATTTCTGCTGTCCACGTGGTGTCCTCTGCATTTGGCAACATCCAGGTTTCACAGAAGTTCGTGTGTTTGAAGCAGATCTACGATAATATTATTTGTTTATGGATGGATTTTTAAACAGCACATTGTACTAAAAACTTAAAAGAAACTATTCTATGATTAAACTAGCAAGTGTTTAAACTCGTAGAAAATAAATTTAACCGAATTTAAATGAATTAAGCGAATTAACCACTAAAGAAAAAAGAAATAACAAAATGACCTTCATTGCCTATTATAAAGATTAGGGTAAAAACTGAAACGAATCTATTATATACGCTTGTATATGAGTATTATTTAAATATCACATTTAAATAACGAATAAGAATCGTTTCATACACGTTAAAAAATTGTTCCGTTCGCTTGCTTCAAAATACGTAAAAGTCTACTGGTACACGTTTAATGTAAAAAAGTATCCGTATTCCTGTACCTAGTATTTGTTAAGGGGCGTTCAAGTCGTGACACGCAATTTTTTGAGATTCAATCCTCCCCCATGTAAAGCGCCATAGCGTTTTCTGTACCCAAGTACGTTTTACAAAAGACCCCCCAAATTCGTTACGTAATGGCAGACGCTCCTAAGACTTCATCGTAGTGTATCACTTCATCCGAAAACGTATTTGACAGTTCCTTACCCTACGCATGCATTGTGAAACACACCTTAATACAATGTATTAAAAACACAACTATTCTAAGAATCTTGCGCATTTGTCATAATAGACTGAGGCTATTGTTCAAAAATATGTTTACACCATTTATACAATGAGATTTTTTCAGCCATGAATGGGAAAGAAAGATAAGGAAACCTCTTCACCTATAAAACATGATCAATGGAATGCCCTATAACCCATTGGGATCTAATTACTTGGAGAAAGAGTCCTACTACCTAACCTAATAACCTAACCCATTGGGAACGAGAATTCATATACGAGTAATAATCCTCTAGGGGTTCCCTATATAAGATTTTTGCCTATTCCATCTATTGATAATTTATCTTTTATAGATGATCAGCCTTCTATGCCTGACACATGTAGAGTTTTAAGACAAAGAGTCCTTTATCTAGTGTTAATTGCGTACATAGAAGAATCCATAGCATAGCCAAGATTTGAATGCATGATATTCGCAGGGCCGGGTTAAGAGTAGGGCAACCAGGGTCTCCGCAATAGAAGAGGAATAGAGACTTCGAAAAAAAAATGTTTTAAATTCTGACTAGTCAACACTGGTAAACAAAAACAACTTTTCTTTTGATATATTTTATGTTTGTTAAATACTAAAAGAATCTTCTTGGTTTCACAATTATAGATTGAAAAACTCAAATGAAAATTTGTCATATTATTTGGGGCCAGGAGACTCCACTCCTTTGTTTCCCCGAGGCCTCCACACCTCTAAATCCGGCCCTGGATATTCGGGTTACGACAAAGTCATGATTAAAGAAATAATAGATATACAGAGGTGAGTTGCAAGTAGGTATAATATCATGCACAGACAAAAAGTTAAAGCAAATTATATGTATAAAGCTCTGCAAATCCATTTAAACAGTTATGATAATGAACGAGAATTAATTATCATTATATTATGCTGTAAAATATACCAACCTCTTTTTCTGCATCAGGCATGATGTCATCATGAGGCCTCTTCTTATACAAGTCTGTGATTTCATCTTCATTCTCCTCAAACATACGCTCACACTGAAATTGTTAAGTACATATTTAATATGTTGTTCCTTAACTACTCAAACATATGCTACAATCTACAAATTATAATATAATTGATTAATAAATAAATTCCAATTAATTTTAATTCACTAGATGTACAAAAATATTATCTGTAATAGAATTTATAACGAAAATATAACTGGGAATAATTTGATACAACTCTTAAATCTATAATATAGGTACCAGTGTTTGTAATGGGAAAATACTGAGGGGGAAAACTTCAACTAAAATAGGTAACATAAGTTATCATGCTGAAATTGAAAATATATTGTAGGTAAAACCATATTTGAGTTGCATTTATTATAATACTAAAATCTCACTTACATAATACTCTAAACTCTTATTCAAGTCATCATCGGTGACAAATTTGGTTTTGGAGAAATCTGGATTCATGCCACCTCCCTCTGTCATGAGTTGCATGATAGCTAACTTGCCTGTTGCTTTATAGTACACACGGACATAGTCATCCATTTTCTTACCTATAATATTATTAAATACTTAGGTGGCATTCTTCTAAATATTCACGAAAGTGCATCAATATAAAACACGTCACTGTAACTTCAAGATTATTTGTATAGGTAACAGATGAGGCTATCTGTGATATCAATGCAATTTGGATTAAGGGTTTATGGGTAACTTCCTTCAAACAAATTATGTTGCCCGAGTGCTTAAGACCAGCTTAGCCTAAGATGTGTGTCATTGTCATTAAAACCCTTTTTTTTAATTTTTACATAAAAAATCATAAATTTGATTTTTGATTGTACTTTTCTCTGCATGGTTTTACCGTAACTATATATGTAGAATAGAAAACGGTTAATTATATAGAAAAGTTCAAGGCCCATATTAATAGTCCATAAATAACATAATTTTAGACAAATTTAATTGTTAAGCGATCCAGGCCAAAACATATTTTTTTTAACTTTTCTGCCTTGAATTAATACCAGAATAGTTTTATCTAGATAGACTAATTTAAGAAAGTAGACTAACAAATTCCATCAATAAGTTCAGAAATGTACACAGCTGATCTGTGAGCTGGCACTTTGTCTTGCATTGTGTTGCCATCAGCATCCATTCTAAAGTTTCCCACCTGAAAGTGGAAATTTAGGTTACAATTTACACAGACAAACAACGGTAGAACTCATACATTATACATTGCAAGAGGCTAACAAAATGACACAAACTTAAAAAAACTTTTTCAGATTTTCCTTTTCACTTAAATGCTATTTACAAATTAATAAGTAAAGATCAATAGTTTCTTATTGAATCCACTAACAGAATATGATTCCTAGGATGTCATTCCTTGGTATTTTAACCTAAAACGGTTACGGTTAGTACAGACTTAGGTCCAAATATTACTTTTAAGACAATGTATATAATATATATCTTTTTATAACTTACATCAATTTTCTTCCATTTATCCACTTTCTTTATGGCTCTGTTAAGCTCGTCAAAAGTGGTTCGGCACACTGAAATGTATTTTAAGTTTGTTAAAGTGTTAAATATATAGTATAAGTTGTATGAAATAAATACAGTAAACACAAACCTAAACATTTCAAATTTCGCGGATCAATTGCTCCAGAAACGAGAACAATAAAAAAAGAACAAATTAGTATTGAAAATGTTAAATGCATTTTAATGGATCCCGTTCAATATTAGTGCTTTTTCAGTGAAAAATTAAAAGATAATGTGCTTGTAAAATTAAATTCGACGTGTTAAATGTTTATCATTTTCTTTACTTCAATGTATACACGAACTCTTTTCTGATTGGTTCGTCAACTGTTCATAATCTATGAAATTTTGTATATTGTCAATAAAAAGTTTCATATAATTGAAACTATTTCCCAAAAAGTATTTTGCTAATAATATACATTATAAAATTCATCTAAATACTTAATTTTACGATAGAATAGACATCATTATATTTAAACAATAATGATAACATTGTGTAAGAGTCTATGGATAAGCACAACCCGCACCAAAAAGATCTTTGAAACATCATAATTGGTCCTTGTGATGACAGCTTATAGCGGATGTCAAATGTAATACTTTATTAATATATTATAATTAAAATAACAATTTGATAAAAGTAAAAATTCAAATATTATATTTCATATTTTTTTGCTTTCTTTGCTATAATTTACATAAGAAGAAAACAAGTCATGAAAAACAGTATTCTTTTGACTCCTTGGCTCACCCGTTCTCCGTTTTTCCGCCCGACCCCCTTCACCCTGAGCGACTCAACCTAAACCAACATTTAGCAGTTCGCATTTGATCTCCATGAATGAGAGACGTATGTTTGACGGAATGCATATATTTTTTGTGCACTTAAAATCTTCTCAGAATCTTAAAATACCGTAATATACAAGTTTATTACTTCACCGAGTGCAGTTGATACGAAAATTGTGAAGAAAAATAACAATTTCGATTAAAAATATAGGTAAGTGTTCAATTGACAACCAGCATCTTTTCATAATTTTCGCTTTTTAATCACTTAAACAGTGATTTCAATTGCTTTAAAATGTAATCATAGTTATGTAGCAGTAGAGAATCGTTATTTTCTTCACATATTGTAATATACCATAAGTTGTAATGTTACCTATTTCATGCATACGTTATAAATAATGAGACGTAATATCTTGATCTATATGTATGTGTATGTGTAATATGCGTTATAAACTCAGTAAAAAATGTAATTTCATAATGATAGCCGCGCGCTCTTGTAGTAAGTAGTCTTGTCGACAACTTGGCAACGCGATGTCCAATTAAATTCTGTAAAAAAGTTAGATCATTGTAAACAAGCAAGTGTCTTATCCAACCGGCGTTTCCCTTTGTATTTTGAGTGAAATCGGCCCTTTGTCCTTCAACGAAGAGCGTTGGGTGCGCCAGGGTATAGGAATTTCGACTCTAGAAAAGTGCCATAATACATAATGATATACATTTGTAGTTCGGGCCGCGCGCTGCCGTTCCCCGCGTCGTTTCCATATAGTTGTGTTAGTGTGTACCTACGGTGAATATGTCAGTGTGGTCGTGCGGTAGTTTGTTTATAGTGTGTGCTGACGTAAAATAGCCTCTATTTTGATCGGTGTAGGGGGCGCTATGCTATGTAGGTCGGCGTCCTCGTCGCTGTTTGTCTATCGATCTCTGCGGTGGCCAATGGCATACTATGTCCTGCGCGGCTTTACCTCACCCCTCACTGGTGAAAGCCGGTGCGATGTAATACGCTCACAACGAACTTTAATATTCTACAATAAAATATTGTTATCTTATCTTGAAGACGCAACAGCGTCAATCGCTTTGTCCGCTTGCAGCCAACTAGATTTTGTATTTTTATATTGTAAATGTAGCTCGGGAGTAGGTGATAGTTCCAAATGTTTTGTAGACTTGGCGGTTCTGTTTGCGGAGCGTCAAGGGTAGTGGGGTGCGAGGGGAAAACGAGCCTGAAATAGAAGCGCGAATTGAAAACGCAGCGACGTGGCAACAGCGCCACTGTGCGTTCACGTTTAGTGTAGATTCAAAATGGCGCCTGTGCGTGATCGATACAGTGGATTCCTAGTTAAAATGTCCGTATTTGTGAATAATTGGGTTGTTGGTCAGCCCAAATGGTGCGGCAGGACTGCGGGGCGTGTGCCTCGCAAACCGATGCCTGACCTTAAAGTACGTATCATGAGGAATATTGAGCTGTAATATGTATAGGTATGGATATGTCCATCAATAGTAACTTGTGACTAGTTTATATCACTTGCATATTCGTATCTAACATCGAGGCCTTATTCTAAGACAAATATATAGGAAATGGTACATCGTATGCGAAATTTTATTCCCTTTCAGGTTACAAACTGGTTACGTAACAATTACATTATCTTTTGCACTATGGTCTCTTGTATTGTTACAATTAAAGAATTCATTACTTTCTGATTCATTCAGAAAGTAAAAGTGTATAGGATCTAAATGAAATACGTTTTTAGAAAAAGTTTAAAAAACAAAAAATCATGAGGTTGCGATTGATACTGACAAAAAGATGGCGGCCGTAGTCGTATAATTAAGACGCAGTAGCAAACTTGTAACGTTGGCAACGTCGCATCGATGTTAAACCCAGTCACTTCACTTGTTTCATCCGATAACAACTTTCAAGGCTGAACATTTCGTAGATATCACAGTTTGTACTGAGTTAAATGCTTAGTACGTAATATGCGTAATTTAATGTTTTATTTTCGCCTTTGCGATCATATTAAATGTCTTGTTTTTGCGGATTCCATATTACGGATCAAAGACATATGGGTAATTAGGTACTTCATTGTTGTTACAACTTTCACATGACGGTTACGTTTCAAACCTTATAAAAATGTTTCTTTGCTATCGGTCGATTATAGAAATTCCTTTAAATAAACCACACACTAATTATTAAAAAAAAAAAGGTTTCTTTGTTTTTAAATGACCTGTTTTGTTATTATTATAAACAAATATATCAGTATGTTATTTTATATATTTTAGAAAATTATTATATTAAACATATTTTATTTCTGTTTATAATATATTAGTAGACATAGAGAGTAGATATAAATTTAATTTTTTGCTTTTATTGCTACCGAATCACAGTTTAATGAAGATGCCATGAAATACGAGTTACGAGATTAATAAAACTACATGTTATTAGAATATTTCTTTTATTTTCCTTCAACAGTTTACATCTTAAAAAGACTCATGGAAATTTATTGACCGACTTCGCTCTATAATATAACCTTGATTAACAAGGTTCCTAAGTGCAGATATTATGTCTTTATTTGATCTGAAATCGACCTTCATTGTTTATAATGACTAATGCAATATTAATATTTTTTTATGAATTGAATTTATAATGTATTTTAAATTTAAAGCATAAGACCTAAATAAATATCAGCACTAAATATTTCCCTTAATCTCTTGTCCGAAATTTATAAAAACCTAGAAATTTCATTAATGTTTCCATCCAGTTACCATTTGTCAAGACTGTGTTCGTAATATTTTACTATATATTATACCTATACAATATCTTATAAAAGGTATCACTATGCCTACTAACTGAATGTTAAATCATTCCAATTTTATTCTTCACGTTTAACGTAATCCTAAAAATATACTTAAAAAAATTTCGATAAAAAGAAAGATTTGTTTTGGTCTACCAACTTTGTGGTGAATCGCCGTTGTTGGCATTTAGTGTTACGTCCGTTTCGCTTGTTATTATTTGGTGCGACGTTGCCGGTTCGCTAGATTCTCCAGGTTCGATTACTTCGTTGTCGGCCAGCTAACGAGTAGAAACTAGAGGGACTGGTTACTGAGCTTCAAGTCAGTCGAGCGCGCAGCTTGGTGCGCGATGTTCGTGCGCGGAGGGCTCCGCTCATTTCCCTGGTTATCTGATTCGCATTCTGTGCAAGTGTGAGCGGGATAGCTGTGTTAGGTGAGAGGAAGTAGAACACAAGCGAGATAGCACTATGGCAGTGTCGCAACCTCGCCCACCTGACCGTGTTGACGCCGCGCTCGAAAAAGTTGCGCCGTTGCGCTATTTGGAGGCGCACGAATATGCTCGCACGGAGCATGTCGTGACGCGTTATTATCATAAATCATTGTCCTATCCAAGTTTTTTGAGTTCTAAGAAGATCAAGCTAAACATTGAAGATTTTACTGGCGCCTGTTACATTATAAAACGGTACGTAAAGATAAGCTTTAAGAAGAGGGAAGTGGCGTTATCTATATATATATATTGAGATAAGTAGGTTGGCAATCACGTATTGATATTATTTTCCATATACATATTGAACATCTGGACGGTATAATGCGTGAACAATTTGGCTGATGCGACGTAATACATGATTGTCTGTATTTAATCGCCATTTTCTACATCGGTGACGAATACTGCCGCGCCGTCCCCGTTTGTTTTAACCCAGTCAAAACTGGACCTTACTGTCTTTTCTTTAAGGTCATTACTTAAAAGCAACACTTGTAGATATGATTCATTATAGAAAATAATATTTTTATTTTCTTGTAAATAAACTACAAATTATGATTTAAATGTATGGTAAGAGCAATAAAAACTTAATTTTTTTCAATCGCATCCGTAAAAAAGGCGGGATCCGGATGTGTCATTACTGTCAAATTATTTCTCTTTGTCAATGAAGTACTTTTCGTGGCGCGTTGAAAGTTACGTGAACGGATCGCATTTTGCGTCGCTTTCTTTTGCATTTGAGAATATAGCTGCTGTGTTATCGATTTGTATACGTTTTCCGCTATAAATAAATGTGAGTTTGTGTCATCGCCTCCATCGCAAAGACCGGTTTTCCTTTAAACCTGTGTGGTAGAGCTATTTGGAATAGCTTGGTAGCTAACTTTCGAGTGGACGCGTTCGATATTTAGTTGCGTAATTTGTTTATAAGCTGCATAATGCGTTGATAAACGTCACGTTTTCATACTTTAAATAGCTCGACCCACGCATATTAATGTACTCTGACGTCACCTCTAACTCGACGCCGATAAAAATCGTCAAGTTACAAGAAGCTAAACTTCAAACTTCAAAGTAAGTTACATTACGTAATTAAAACGTTATTATTCTCTTAATCAACCTGAACGATTATTTAGCCATCATACATAACCTCGCCGAAAACAGCTGTTGTATAGAATTAACGTTTAACATAATGTACAACCGGCTGGATGATTATCGGTTGCAACGTGTTTAAAAAAAAACCGTTTTTTCTGTACACTTCTTTTTCTTATTAATTGTAAGGAATGCTTTAATAATCAAACAGTTAACTGCTGAAAACACATGGTTATGTAATATCTATATCTATGTCTTGGCATCCATGAACCCATAGTTACAAATAATTATAACCTCCATTTTAAATATCCATGTGGTACCGTAGTGGTCATGAGATTGTCACATGGCTACAACCTTTACCTTATATTAATCACCACTACTAGCAATACTCCATGTATTCTGTTCTATGAAATTGTTCAACATTTTACATGTAATATATTGGCAATAGCAAGTAAGATAGATGGAAAAGAAAAATTATAATTAACCTTTCTTTCATGGCAGCATGCATTGAAACTTGAATCCTTTATAAAATATGACATTAAATTTACATTTTAGTTAAATTGTGACAATATGCAAAATGCAGTTTAAGTACTTTAGTACCTTACTTCTGAGAAATTGAAACCTCATGTACAATATTTTTCAGTCATATGATTTCAGTGTCTGTTTTAAATATTACTAAGAAATATAAAGTAGTGCACATGTGGCAATCACATGTATAATTTAAAAGTTATCATAGGTAAATTTTCTATTTTTACAGCTTAATGTACACAAGATATCTTTAGTTTACTTACCACAGTGTTATCCTGATAGATTTTTGAGTATGTAATCAATTTGTTTGGACTTCATCATATCCCTTTATCCCTTTGCACATTTGCTATAGATGTGACAGCTGCGTATTGAGGGACATAGAGAATTAGCATTGGAAGCGTCTTGCTTGACTAGGTAATGGCGTGCCGAAAATGTTAAAACATTTATTTTTCTCATAAACATTGAATCAGTTATTCTTCCAATAAAATTGTTTTTAAATGTATTTTCTCTTTTTATTGAATAACATTCATAGTTTATAAGAATATAGCTAAATTTAAGTAATGAAGAAACTTAAATTTAGGAAAATAATGCAATATTAATAACATAATGTCATATATTACAAAATATAGTAAGATGGACTATATTATATATTAGCATCAAACTGTTTTAATTTAGACTCCTTAGATATGGCTTTAAAGTATATTATAAACTTTAACACATAATATAAAATTTAAGATAATATCTTTGTAGTAAAAACTTGTTTAACATATTTTTTGTTGAATTCCAGGTGAACGGGTGATGGGCCTGTGTTGAAAATGATGAAACGCACAGGACCCAGGCTTGGGCCAGATGAGCCTACACCTATGTCACAGAGTCCTGCTCAGGTAACTAGTCTTTGTTATTATAAGTATTGTCTGCTTACTGTTGATGTGATATATTAATAGGTATATATTGACTTTCTATAATTGGAATTTATATACAAAACAACTCAAAAACTGAAGTTCAAAGATATTTTAATGTTATTTACAGTACATCATTATTTTTTTGATGCAAATTATAATTATAGGATCAATAATGTTATTTATGCACCTATATACAAATTTACTATACTAATGTTAGCAAAGATAATTGTGAATAGAATATAGTGCAAAGCCCTTGATAATTTGTTTCGTATCCTCCTTGCGTGTGATGTCATTGGACCATTACACTAAAGGATGCTCTCATTTGAAATAGTTAAAGTATTATACACAACTAATCTTTGGAGAAAACTAGTGTCTCTCTTACCTTCACTGCTGATTTACATAATGGCATCTGACTTTGAATTTTAAATGTAGATGGTTAAGTAATGGATTTCCACTATTTTAAATCAAACTCAAACACATTTCTAACTTTTTAAAGCCAATACAAATCTTAAATATTTTTAGTGGGTTTTGGTCATTTTCAAATAAACAATTTTCAATAAAATGAATACTAGTTATGTTACAACTAAGTATTCAGTATACCTATTTCTTCAACTGGCTTCGATGCCTGTTGCATATAGCATACCTATGCATTTATCACAGTGATAACACTCGTAAACACTAGGTTATCACATGTTATCACTGGTTGTATACTTACAAACATGTTGGGAATACTAATTATAGGAAGGTAAATCGCGCCATTTTTCAACATATTGCAATATACGATGTAAGAATATAATATACGCAAGGTCACAGAAATTGTGAAACTTAAATTGTAGTGTTTAATTTAATCATCAAAAACTTTCTTGTACTTAAATAAAAAAATAAAAATAAAATATGTTTATTATGGAACATAAGATACAGGTATCACTTATTCCACGTCATTAAATTTGAATTTGTAGGCATCCCTACTCATCGGCAAAGATGACAGAGGGTGTAGGCCGAGAGGAAAAGCCTGCGTAAAAAAACTCTCGGTACTCTATTAAAATAGCAAATCATCAAACAACACTTATTTTAAAACAAATATCGCAAATTAATTAGAAGTAGCCTGTCTAGCACTAGTCCCAGGCCCTTTTATCGACAGATAATCGTTAACTTTATAGTAAGCCTTTTTACACAGCTAATAACAAGAAGCAAGTATTAAGACAATGCAATAATTGTATCACTTGATATAGTATAAACCTACGTTAGGGTAGGTCACGGAGATCAATAACGGTATGACGACTCACCCTGCACGTTGAAGCTTATTTTCGTATTAGCCCGATCGTTGCATAATAAATAAAATGTCTACAACGCTTGAACAATGAAGTAGTAATAATATGACATAAGTCTTGTTTAAAATATATTATAAAAAAGGCGATTAAACTCAATAGATATTTTAATAAAAAGTACAGATATTTTATAAAGAATATATGCTTTATTTTTAATAAATTTGTGTTGAATTAAATCATAATGATATCAGCAAAAAACATAGTAAAAAGAGAAAGTGGCGTTCGCTTTTGTAAATGTTTGCTTTTCAAATTTATGTAATAAATGTGAAAAATTTAAAAACTTGCAATTTCATACTTTAAATATTTCCCTGAACAGATTTTTGAACATTAAGTCCTTTTTCTTATTATTTATTTTCTACGCAATATCCTGTAAAGGATGTACAAACGTTTAAGGCCTATTTGATGTCATATAATACTATAGCGATTAGGTGTGGTTTGTTTGAAATAGGTGATCAGATATAATAGGACATAATGAGCGCGACTCAGTCAAGTTTTATCTACACTATTTTCGTAAGATTTGCAATCAAATGATGCACCTATATAACTGATACAAACTACACTTTCCACTAAGCAAGACTTAATCGAGCCCTAACTACTTATAATTAATTTGATTGGTCTCAATAGACGTGTAAGACTTCACTTTGACCTAACTAGGAGATGCCGCCTTTCTTGAAAATTGGTATATATTCGTCTCTCTCTTTCACTGTATAGCGTAGTTAAAGTATTTACGATTTCGTGTTTAGATACTTGACATTTAGTTACTCCATATTATTGTGACTACAGGCGTTGACTTGTGCCATGTGAATTCAACGCGTATAAATATCACGGAAAATGTATTTATAAAAAATCGTATTCTATCTATTTGTGCCGTAACTGAATCACGTTTGGCACGCGCTTGTGGATACGTCTACAATCTGCATAAATTATAGGATTTTGTTGATTATTTACATTTTTCAAACGCGATAATTTAAGCGTTTTGTCAATAATGTGGCAAAATGAGGTTTGGTTATCTATGATTGGTTTATTCAATGCATTTGAATTTGCGCACGAGGAATTAAAAAAATCGTTACATTATTAGCGTATTTAATCACTGAATGATAGTTTAAAGTTAGTTGCACTAGGCGTCAAACCAAAATTAAAAGTAACTTATTTTGAAGTAAAATCAACAGTTACTTGTTCCCCCGAATACTATATTTGTATGATTTAAAACATTGATTCTTTCTTTGTTAACATCGTACGCAATGTTTACAAGTTCCGAGAGCTGGTATGATACAAGGTCGTAACAAAGAGCGTTTTAAGTTTAACCTCGATATGTTTTATTGATCCCTTGATACTTTTTGTTTCATCTTTTTTGTGCCCTTTAAATTGATTACACACTTTTTGCGTTGTTAAAAATGGGGTTTTGATTTAACATTCGCTCTTAATCTGCTACTGTAGTGTTGACTATCTAACTCAATCCAAGCAATTTCGTCAATAAATAAAGCACTAATAACCAACTAAAAATATAATAAATAAACAACTTTTTAGGTCTGTGCCTTAGATTTCTGTCTCTGTTCCATAATAATTTGTTAATCTAATAGGCAAGTAGGTGATCCCTCCTGTGCCTGACACGCCGTCGACGTTTTCGGTCTAAGGCAAGCCGGTTTCCTCACGATGTTGTTGTTGTGTTTCCTCACATAGAAAGTCCATAAGTGCACAGCCGGGGATCGAACCTACAACCTTAGGGTCGGGGATGAGAGTCACGCCCAAGCCACTAGGCCAACAAATACCAACTAGGCCAACAGACCACTAGGTCGTTAAACTTTCTAATATCGCGTCTGTATTAATAATTCAAATTACAGATCAAAATTCGTTAAACTAAAGTACTTGTGACATTTCTATACACTTTTTAAATCTTTTTTAAGTTCAGAGATGTTTAGGCTTGAGCTTGAGCACTAATGCTCACTTAGTATGTGCATGTCCCTCAATCCCGTTGCACGTCTTCTATAGACGTGACAGCTGCGTACTGAGGGATAGAGAGAGTTAGCATTGGAAGCGTCACGCTCCGTTGGGCGATGGCGTGCCGAAAATGCTAATACAAGATATTTTTCCGTATACATTTTCAACGTAGTTGGTTTTACAAAGTGTTAAATTAGATGGTTACATGATCTTAAGGAAATTTATGTTTTGGTATATTGCGTTAAATTAGATTCGTGACTACGGTATACCAGTTCTTTTTTTACCTTAAGTACTTCTGAAATACTTTTCTACAATATTGTAAAAGACCTGTTTTCGTAAATACTAAGATATTTTTTAAAGTGATATTACAGCAATAAGGAAAACTAACTGATTATTAATTTATTCCCTTTAGTAATAAAGTAATTCTTTTGTTCTAGATTCAGCAGGCTGGTGCAAGCAATATGCATACCTTAGCTCAATCAGCGCAACCTCAGATGTTAGGTAAGATGTAAATTTAACTTTGTTATATAATGAGAAAAGTTTGCAAGTGAAGCTCTACCAGTACATTGTTTGACCTTTTCACGAAAATTCTTTGAACTCTTTTCATTGTGGTCCGTGAGCCATTCATAAAAAGGCATTTATGGGTTAAGAGGCCACGTCTTTTACGATTTCTACTATTTTTAGCTATACAATTTAAATAAAATTATGTTTTTATTACAAAATCATTATCATTAAATTGGATTAAGTGAAATTTTTTGTTACAAAAACTTAAAGATGATAAATATGATAGTCTAGTTACGAGAGAGTGTTACTACATACTTATGCTCAAAACAAAGTAAATTTTATTAAGCAAGCCACTTTCGACACCTAAGTCTAAAATTTAGGGAACTTTACTTAGTATAAAACGCATTTTACCGTCGTCTACGTAAAGATCTTTATTTATAAGTCGGCCTAGGAATCGGATCAATAAGTGCCCGTATCATTGTATATTATCTATAACTTAAATTATTAATGTAGGTGCAACAACAATGCTATCAGTAAGCAACGCGTTTAATCGTGGTCCGCCAAGACCAGCGGGCCCGCAAGTGATCAATTATTTAAAGGCGAACACTGTGCAATACGCACCACCGCCCAAGCAACAACAGCAAGTTCCGCCCAGGCTCAAGGTGAGTTTTACTTTCAGGTCTTAAGAGATTCAATATTTCTCTTAATCTTCAAGAAGAATCTTAATTTAAGTGCTGGTACCTTAGTCATAGTGAAAATTAGTATACATATAATTCGCTTAAGGAGATTTAAATGCTTCTTCATCTAAGAATAATCTTGCATAGTAGGTTTCTAATTTTAGACCATTTATGCAATTAATAATAATAAATGTTTTTTAGCTGTATGTGGACTATTGAGTAAAGCATTTATTTTTTTCCTAATTATTTGTATGTCCCTCCATCCCGTTGTGCGACTTTAATAGACGTGACAGCTGCGTACTGAGGGACAAAGAAAGTTAGCATTGGAAGCGCCACGCTCCCTTGGGTGATGGCGTGCCGAAAATGTTAATACATTTATACACTTGAAACCATTATCAATCCATGGACATTTGTTGCTCACCTGTTGGTGTCCAAAAATACTTTGGACAGGCACAGCATATCCACTTTTCAGCAAAATGATGATCCATTTAAAAAGATAATTATTGAAACTACTAAATTCTTAACGCTCACTGTTGCGTCTCTTATTCCCAAAATTAAATGATCAATGAAGCTCAATCAAAAGCATCCTTCAAATATTTTATGACTGACTGACGTGTGTCAAATGTCATAAATATATAAGTATCGTGTACTAGTTCAAAATAAACCCTTTCTTGCAGCTGGTAACCCAACCCACCACCTTGAGCATGAGCGGGCGCCAGTCTCCTGGCGTGGGAGGAGTGCCGGGAGCTCCAGCGGGGGCTAGCTTCCAACGCCTCAAGGTAGAGGACGCTTTGTCGTACCTCGACCAAGTGAAATACAGGTTTAACACTCAGCCGCAAGTCTACAACGACTTTTTGGACATCATGAAGGAATTTAAGAGCCAGACGTAAGTATTTTTTGGTTTTTATCAGTTTAAATAATTATATTCTAATTTAGAGCTTTTTTCCTATGATTTAATGATAGTTGTAGATAAAATTAAAGTAGTGTTTCATAATAAAATAAAAAACAAAATTTAATTATTTAAGGATACAAATTTATTAAATATGTATCCCTAAATAATATTTCCTATTAAAAGTTTTAACATTGGTGAGAGGAAGAACTTAAAATAGCGTAATTCTTTTCTTTATTAACATTGATTACATTATGTTTTACATTCTTTTGAGTAATAATGCCGAAATATATTTTTAATTTAGTCAAGTTCACAACTATATCAGTTAAAGACAATAACGAAATGACATTTAATGTAAATTTTTATTTATATACATTTTATTAATAACCTCTTCACCTCAATTACTATTATTTGTGATGATCAAACAGTAAGATTAAATCAAAATATGTAAAATAGTTCTCGTTACAGTATAGACACACCGGGGGTTATCACCCGGGTATCAAACCTGTTCAAAGGACACCCAGAGCTGATTGTCGGGTTCAACACCTTTCTGCCTCCGGGTTACAAGATTGAGGTGCAGAGTAATGGACAGGTGAGAAATTTTTAAGTAAACATATAATCTTTGAGATGGAAGATGTAAAATATATATTAAATACATTAATGGATGGATCCCGTGTCATTAACACAATTTTTTTTTTAAATATAACCATTCATAATTGTTTTGACCCCATTAAAGTCTATATAACGAAATAAAAGTCGTAGACGTTCCTGTCCTGGTGGTAAATTAATGATATGAATAAAAAAGGAATTAAAACACCGTGAAATTTTTAGAATTAGCAAAAAGGTTGTTTTGGTTATCAAATAAATAAATTACTTAAAATGATGACAACAATTACCGTTTGATCGCAATGATAAAACTAATGGCTGTATATTTTCTGATACAACACAAACCTATCAAAATCCATACTGTAAAATTCCAACATACTGAAGCTAACTTTCTTCTAGGTTTCGGTGTCTATGCCTTCTCCCACGGGAGTAGGAGTACTGCCACCAGTCCCAGGTGGTAACGTTACGAATGTCCCATCCGGGCCTCATACACCACATGGCCCAGTGCCCAGTTCCGGGCAAGTGTTATTGGGAGTACACCATGCGCCGGCGCAGCCTCAGCTAGTTCATATATTACCAGTGCAACAGTAAGTAAACATCTATGGTATTAATAAATATCCTCTTTTAATTACTTTTTATAATATGTTTAATTATTTTTAGTTATTTTCTGTTTTTGAAACCCTTACTTAGAGTTCAATATCTGGTGAATTAAGCTTTTTTGACATAAAAGACAAGTTTATCTTTCACGTTTTCGCTTAAAAATTCAAAGGGTTTTTTATTTTAATTTAGTGCAAATGATGATATTAATTACCGATTGAGAGTAATGATAAAAACTTTCGGCTGCTCAAATGAGTTCTGATCTTACCAAACTTACTTAAACACATGCATAATTTATAACAAAAATACATATAAGAATGACACACAGGTCGGTGAGCCAAGTGGTGCATAATCTGTCTGTGGCACCAAGTGCTGCGAACACATTGCACCATATATCTCAAGCTCATCAACAAATTGAGGCAGCTGCTATTCATCATACAAGTGGTAAGTTTTATTTAAATAAAAAAAATATTCGTGGAGTAGGGTGTTTTTAGAAATCAAAGTAGTAATGATATAACCCTATTTCTGGTCAGTTTGATTCGAAGTAAATCCTATATATAATATATATTTTGATAAAATTGAATTGAATTCTTTAATTAAAGTGGAATAAATTGGTTAATTTAATTTCTTCAGGCTGACTGGGACACGCCAGCTTAATCTGTCTTTTTCGTTTTACATTCCCCCCATGTCATCTTTTTCATAACCCCAACGTCCCAACTTAGTGCTATGGAATTTTTATCTTAGAAAGTCGATACATTCAAATGTGTCAATGTCAAAATGGAATCTGGAATACCTAGTACCTAACAACGATACATTCTTAGAATAAGTACTTAGGCACGTGCTAATGTGAAATTAAGAATTACTAAAAAGAAAAAGAAATAAGGCCACATATGTTTCACCGAAAAAAAATCACATATTTTTCATCAGAATTTTTTTGTAGGAATGATAGTTTTATGCCTACGAGTATAGGCGCTTTGTATGAAAGCGGTATTATATAAAGTTGTCCCAACAGGTGGTGCTACAAACACAAGCGTACACTCGGCCGCCGGACAACAACCTGTGGAGTTCAACCACGCTATCGAATATGTTAATAAAATTAAGGTAAGAATATTATAGATATAGTTGTTAAACATCATTTTTTTGTGATTATTAACTTTAAAAAAACAATTAGTTTGTTTTGAAACACTAAATTTTTTCCTTGCATTTCGTAAGTCAAAAACATAATAAATAATAGAATAATAATATCATAAATATAATTCTTTATTGCAATTTCACATTTAATAATTTATTCTTTTTTAAAGTTTTTTATTTACACTTAATTAAAAAGTTAAAAATCATTTAATCATGCAGGTAACATAATGTACACTTATGACTCGTCAGTAAAGAAATACATATTAATGCTTCTAATTTTACATTTACTGCCAGTTCTCAAATCAAGGGCGTAGAACGGAAGAGAAGTACTGGCAATAAACTCTCCGCCACTCTTTTTAATCGCCATTTTTTTTTACACAACGTTTTGTTATTGATTGTAACATTCATATATTATACTATATTTTTTATAATACAAATTTGGTTTCTCAAGTCTCTCAAAACTCAAACCGATATAACTGTATTCAAAACTACGCACAGATATCTTTTAGTGAAATTTTTTAGTTGAATTGAAAATAGATATTTGATCAAATTAGATTGTAGAGTGTAACTGACCTCATATCACTACTTAAACATGGATATTTTGTCAACAGTCTCGTTTCTCCCGTCAACCGGACAAATACAAGAGATTCCTGGAGATACTCCATGCTTATCAGCGAGGTCATCGCGACGTGAAAGAGCCTCAGGCCAAACAGCAGACTGAGCAAGAAGTTTATTCCCAGGTAAATAACAGGTTTTACTTTTTTTTTTAAAGTGAAACTTCTTTTGGCGCATGAGGGTCACGTCACGAAGATGTGCAGCGTTTTTGTCGAAGAAAAGGAAGAGAGTGAGAAATGTAAAGAGAATTTATGAAATATTAGTATTATACGCAAAATAATTTATTGAAATCTCAAATGACTAATTGTAAATTAAAATGCCACGTGTTTTTATTATCGAAGAAATAAATTAAAAAAAATAATTTATAACTTGTATTCATTTTCGTCACTTTTTTATATTTTAATGACAATTAAATTCATTGAATTCATAACATAACTTCCTTTTTCCCTCCCTCTAAATTTCGGAAATCCAAAGTTTTAGATTTGTATAAATATGAATTAGACATAAAAATTAGTTTGCCAAAGAAGTTTCACTTCGGACATGTGTACTTAGTACGCACGCACTTTTTTGATAATTTCTTGGATTTAAATTGTTTTACTTAGTACTAGGCTAACTGATGGCTAAACATTTCTTTTTAAATAAAAAAGAAATACTCGATTGATTTTATTTGTATCGCAGGTCGCAAAGTTGTTCGAGAACCAAGAAGACCTATTGGCGGAGTTCGGGCAGTTCCTGCCCGATGCAAAAGCCGTCACGAAGCCGCCTCATTGCCCTCCGCATAATAGGACACCGCCGCCACCCGTAAGTTTTTTTAACCATTACTATTATTGAAGTTATACTTCTTTAGGCGCGTAATGAAAAAATTGATGAGAGTGAAATTTTACGATGCGCGCGCACCGTGACACAAAATTAACAGAATGATTGCCCACGGAAGATGCTACAGTATTGGACATAATTTAAAAACAACATTCGAATAATAATAGAATTTATGTTACACTTAATGTAAGAGAATAATAATAAATATTTATTTATTTAATTTTTCAAATGTTAACTGAACTTTAGTATTGTCTTTGATTAACATAACCTTTACACATTTAAAGAAAAACTTTTTACCGGATTAAAATTATGTATTATTATAAATTTACAATTATTTAACATTTTCTTTAAACTTAACTTTATTGACTATAATGACTCCTTTTCCAGTCTTTGATTATTTAATTGTAATTAATTATTTGCATGCAATCAAAAACTATTTTAATAATGCCAAAGAAGTATAACTTCTTACGCGCGTACATAAGTAGACGCAACCTTTTTTTTTAAACCATAAAAGGGCATAAGATACTGATAACACATGCAGCTATAGATACCACTTATCATATTGGTCATTTAAAATTTAAAGATGATTTTAAAGTATAAATGAGCTATATGCTCTGTGACACATGTCGTAGATATTTGTCTTCAAGTAATTCCGTTAAAAAGTTTGCCTTCACCGTAGGAATGAATATTATTGCCCACCTTAAAAGATCCATTAGTGCACATTAGTGACACGAACTCATGACCTCAGGGTTACATTTAATGCCAGTTCTCAAATCAAGGGCGTAGAACGGAAGAGAAGAACTGGCAATAAATTCTCCGCCACTCTTTAATCGCCATGTTTTGTTTTACACAACGTTTGTAAGGAGCTGCAACCATTACACCATGTTCCACATGACATCTTAAGTAGTTAAAAAAAACGTGCACGCCGCCACAAGCAATGACATTTAAGCGAGCATGACGATCCTTGAGATGTGGACTTGGCTACATAAGAAAATAATAATAATACTAACTAGGCCAACACACCACTACACATACTTAACATATGATTTTCTTATAGTCGCGAGTGGAACCCGAACCTGAAAGATTTACAAGTGCCGCAGCTGCATCGCCTCCACTTTCGCAACATACGATACACCATCAACAGGTAGGTTTATATGATAAAAGCAAATACGTTGTAGACAACATTCTCGAACGATTTTTTTTTTACTAATATTTTAATATAGTAATATTAATTTATAAATAAGAAAGGTCACAGTATTATATGATCTATATTTTATATCGCGTTTATGAATAAACAGCTTAAAAAGATACAACATGGGTATAGCAAAGTCATTTTTCATTAACAATCCTATGAAATTCATAAAATCATTTATGTAAATTTTATTATGAACAGCTGATACGTCAAAGACTTTTGGGAAGTAAATGATTTAATTACTCTTAGATTTGCCAATTCGTTGATAATGTAACAAAATAAAAAGTCTAGATTGTGTTATGATAATATAGTGAGATTATTGTTAGGTACCCAAACACACCAGCACAAGCAATGTGGCAGCTGCACCCCCTCAGCATCATCATCTCAAGAGATCACCGAGCTTCTCATCATCTACTCCACTTGGTAAGTGTTACATGTTTGGACATGTTACAGCAAAAATTTGTCAATATAATATTTTCAAACTCACTATAATAACCTATTCCAACGCTTATAATAAATAATTATCATTGTTTAAAAAAGTAGGTTGTTACAAAATTTTAAAAATATTTAACGAAAGTTGTTCCAAAATCTTTTAAGTAATATTTTTATACATTATAGCTTCCGGAGCCCCTCCACCCAAGAAGCCCCGGGCTTCGGTGCCTGGGACTACGCCCTCAACTCCCCCCACGAGCCTTCGCGATGTCTCCTACGCAGAGGCAGCTAAACTGGCAACTGCGCACGAGTATAACTTCTTCGATCGGGCTAGAAAGGCTCTCAGATCGCAGCAAGTGTACGAGAATTTCTTGAGGTAAGCATATATTTATATACTTATAAATTTTGGAATGTCTTTCTCGAATTCAAATAAGGCAACATGGGATTTATAGTTAGCTCTCAGAATTTCCATCTAAACAAAAAAAAACTAAAAATTCAGTTACAAAAGCAAAAGGCTAATTTTCTATAATTCATTTTCATATAATTTTTTATTGGTTTAGGTGCATCCTTCTCTTCACAAACGAGATTATATCATCATCGGAGTTAATCTGTGTGGTGTCTCCATTCCTCTGCCGTCATCCAGAGTTACAGAAATGGCTGCAGGACTTCCTTGGACCCATTTCACCGCCCCATACCCCAACAGCGCCTAGTTCAGGTTTGTTAATACATATATTATTACAGCACTATGCCAAAACTAAAAAAAACTAGAAAGACTGTCACAAGTGTCGTGTTCTGGTTAAAATATTACCGTATGATAATTTTCCGTATTTTGCTAAAATATTGGGCTAAAAGTTGGGTCGTAACAGTACTGCGGACTTGTATTTCTGTTTGTTTAATCGCAAATCTTAAGAAGTTTTAATTTAGAAATATACATATATATATATATAAACTTTAGACAGTATTATATAAAGGTTTTCTTTACAAACAGGGTACAACAACACAAGCGGGTCATCAACTCTCCTAGGCTACGAGAGGTCTCGCCTGGCCTCCGAGAGCAAAGCCCGAGTGGAGCCACTCGTGCCTATACACGCCGCTTTGCCACTCACTGCTACATTACGCCATGATCGACCTCCTACCGATAATAATATGGAGCTTGGTGAGTGAAAACCCACAAAATAATTTAACATGTCATCTGTAGATGTTCCACAAGTTGTCTTATATTAAAAACACTAAATTTTCTCACAATTAGTGTAACTAAATTCAGTTTCAATATATTAATACCAGAAAAATATTCCTTCAAAGTAAGATATTCAATAACCGTTATATGACGTATAGAACTGACACATTTCTACTACAGCTGTTTTCGTCATTTTGATATTAATTTATAATTTAGATCTATCAACTTGTAAACGGCTGGGCACATCCTATTGCGCTCTGCCAAGAGAGGCCGCAGCTAGGCGTTGCTCTGGAAGGACGGCTCTATGTAAAGAGGTAAATTTTAACTTTTGTATAATAAATTAATTAAATAAAAAAAAGAATTAATAAAATACAATATGTTATGTATCTTATCTTATTCATTTTTAATGATACTAGAAATGAATTTATTGCTTGTTTCCGGTACTTATTTTCCGGTATTTTATTAACAGGTGCTAAATGATACATGGGTATCAATTCCTACTTGGAGTGAAGATTCAACGTTTGTCACATCTCGAAAGACTCAATACGAAGAGTATATCTATAGATGTGAAGATGAGAGGTTTGAGGTGAGTTTTTTTTAATTATTACTACAATACTTTATTAGGGTAAGAAACAGACATATTTTAATGATTATATATTGACACTAGTCCCCCATTCCCACTAGATTTATTTTAATTTAAAAAATATTATTTTCAATTGAATTAGCGGCCTTTAAATATGTAATATGAAAAAGAAAGAGATCTTATAAATTAATTAAACTATATAAAACATAAATTTGTATATTTCCTTGCAAGTGTAAAACACAAAATAATCTTTTCAGCTGGACGTGGTGATAGAAACGAACGCCGCCACCATACGTGTCCTAGAGGGTGTTCAGAAAAAGTTGTCCCGAATGACGTCCGAAGAAGCCGCCAAGTACCGCCTCGACGACTGCCTGGGAGGCCACTCGCCGACCATCCACCAGAGGGCGCTGAAGCGGATTTACGGTGATAAGGTGGTACGAACCCCCCGGACTGTTGGCATGCTTTAGGGGGCTTTTTATTCCCCCTATGTAGTTAGAACACCCTGCAATCTTAGCATGCTTTAGTTATTCCCCAAAGGTTGTTTTCTTGCCTATGTACAAGGACTTTTTTGGCAACACAAAGTATAAATTGGCATAATTACAGGACAATTTCTATTTAGTAGATACTGTTCCCCTTAAACTTAGCTTATAGTTATTATATTTTTTACACTAAATAGGCTAGCGGTGAAGGATTAGTGCATTGACCAAATCGTTGTTAGAGCGATTAGCATTATCAATATCTTTTATTTTGTACAGCATTTTATTCAAATCAAATCAAGATCAAATTACCTGTACAATTACTTTCAATATAATGTACGAAATGTAAATGAAAGTATTATTTCAGGCGGTGGACATAATTGCCGGTTTGAAGAAAAACCCAGTTGTGGCCGTACCAGTTGTATTAAGACGGCTCAAAGCCAAGGAGGAGGAATGGAGAGAGGCGCAAAAGGTATATATTTAGTCTAAAAAATGTTTATATTAAAGTCTAAAAACATACATAAATAAAAAGTTTTACTTTCATAATAATAATACAAGTTTAAAATAACTTCATTTGTAAACGTACTCGCTGTGTTAATAATGTGAGCCTAATCTCTCCCAATAACTTACCATTATAGGAAAACTTTTGTTGTATGCGATAAAAACATTTTTTTTTTAGATTTACAACTTTGATTATTATTAATACAAAAAAAAAGTTGCTAGTATGATGATAAGAATGCGATGTGCAAAACAGAATTACATTGTTGATACACGCATGCTGCCTTCCTTCTGATCAAATCCATACATTCCAAATTCTCTAATATCTAGTTCCAAGATATTAAAGTATATTTTTTTCAGGGCTTCAACAAGCAATGGCGGGAACAAAACGAGAAATATTATCTCAAATCGCTCGATCATCAAGGGATCAATTTCAAACAGAACGATCTGAAGGCGATGCGATCGAAATCCCTCTTTAACGAAGTGGAGAGTGTGTATGCGACGAGAAGACCCGGGCCGCATTATATAGCTGATTATAACATGGCCAATAGGCAAGAAGGTGAGTTTCAATATTTCGGACGTGCGCATGCGCATATAATCCATTGATATTGTTTTGTTTATTTATTATGATTAGGAATGAACATCTTATCGCTAACGAGCGATCTCTTCGAGAGATTTTTTATAAAATAGTGCTTTAATAGTTATTTTTGTCTATCCATAGCTATAAAAATAGTCCGAGACGCCGCTGAGCTGCTGATCCACCACGCCAGAAGGCAGACGGCGATACAGAAGGCGGAGAAGCGACGCATCAAGCAACTCTTGAGACAGTTTTTGCCCGATTTGTTCGCACACCCGAGGCAACCACTTTCGGATGACGAGAGAGATGATGGTAGGTTATTTTATAAAACTTAATATATATTATTACTAGCAGACTCGGCCAAGCTTTGCTGTGGCTAAAGTTTTTGTTATATTACATAGTAGTAAACTATTCAAAGGAAACGGTAGGAGAACACCAGTCATGGGGACCCATGGGGACTATGCTTTTTTGGTGGTTATGCCATTAAATTGTAGCTTATGTGAAACGTTGGTACTTTCAACACAGCGCCATCTGTCAGAATTGCGACTGTCAAATAATAAACAAATAATTTTCAATAAAATAATATTACGGGTATAAATGAAGATGTAAGCTATCCTATCTTTTAAGTTAGTTCAAACTGCACACGGTATGCAAATTTGATTGAAATCGGTTAAGTGGTTTAGGAGCCCATAGCGGACAAACAACGTGACTCGTAATTTATATATATTAAGATTACGTCACAAATACTTTTACACTTCGCAATGCGTGATAAATCTCATATTTGATGGACGTGTTAAATCTGTCTTCTAAGTACTAAGTGTTAAGACCAACAGGGTTATTATTATTACCAAGTTTTTTAAACGAATCTAAAAGTATATAAATAATTTAATGCGAATCTTTTTTAAACTGTATGATGAAAAAGTGCGATGTGCTTAACAGAATTATTTTGTTGATACAACGCATGCTGCCTTCCTTCTGATTATTATTTAAAAAAAATAGCTAGAAAGTGTTGTCACGCAAATATTTTATAAATTATTTGTTTCAGAAGAAAAAGAAGAAGCCACAAGTCCCGGCAGCCCTGGGCAACACGATGAAATTACAAAACAGGAGAAACAAGAGGTATGTACCATGACTGTTACATACACAATTTTTTTTCTTTGTGTTTGTTTTTGTTAACTTTAATTAGAAAATTAGTTTTGTATTTTCAGGAGAATTGTCTTTGGTCCTTTTAAACGAGGCACTATTCGTGTAATGTCCTACATAAAGTAAATAAAAATCTGTAAATAATAGTAATTTTAACGATATATGACAACGTGTCAAAAAAAATTAAGTTTATTACGATAAACTTTAATTAATTGTTAATTGTTTGAGTTAATTCATATGAGTTAGAAGAACCTAATCTATGTTTTCTTTTCAGTCATCGGAATCTGACAACGCGTCAGAAAAGAGTACGAGGCATAATAAGATCGACAAGGAGAATAAACCCAAGAACAACAATAATACAGAAACAAAAGGTTATAACAATTATATTCAATTGTCAATAACAAGTACTTCTCTATATGTCCGTTAAACTGTTTCCATACTGATCGCTATGCTATATACTTGCTAAATTTAATACTAAAATATATCTAAATTAATGATTACATTTTATTAACCTAACATTTTTATTTCAGATTCTCTCATAAAACGTGGCATTTGCAATGAAGAGAGTGTTAAAGATATAAAAAACGAAATGGACATTGAAGACTTCAGAGATTATCCACCCAATGTAAGTATTGTTTTTTCTTTATCATTCACATTTTTTGCCAGTAATCATATTTATATTATTTTACTATAATTTCATACTCAGAACATAGGGTCAATAACCTCGTATTAACGGTAAAGCGTATTAAAATACATATTAACTTTCCTGTTCAAATTAACTTGTTTAAACTTAATAATTAACTAATGAATACAACTATTTGCAGGAAGGCCGATTCGTATGCACATCGTCGTGGTACTTGTTCCTTCGGCTCCACGCGATCTTGTGTTCTCGCTTGTCCGGGGCCCGACGAGCTGCTCTCGCCTTAGCGGAGGCCGAGTCGGTGGGAGCTAACGGACGACCCCCCAGCGTAGCGGCTGCGCTACGACTGAAACCGCATAGTGAGTGTATTATTATGTGGTATATATTATGTGGATTCATTTATGTCCTGGAAATGAACCCGGGAGCTGTTTGTGATTAATATAATAGTTAGTAATTGAAAATCAAAGACAAACTCTTGTAGGAATTAATGATGAAAATTACATAAAATTAACTATATATGTATTACAGTTAAACATTATTATCTTACAATTTGGAAATGTGGTTGAATTGTGATAATTTACTTTAATAACAAAATACCTAGTTGAGACAAATTAGAATGCATAACATTACGCTGCAAGGCGGGGATTGAATGACGCGTTATTGTTAATATTATTTTCGACTTTCCAGTACTTTACTCTACATAATGGTAACTTTTAAGTATAAACAGTCACTAGGTGGTCACGAAACGTTTTACTATACTTGGGTACACAAAAACGTTACGGCGCGTTACATGGGGGGGTCAATAATCTCCAAAAATTGCGTGACGTAATACTTGAACACTCCCTGAATTACATTTAATAAAAAAAACATTTTTATATATTGTATTTCCTTTCGTAAATATAATATGGCAACATTTTACAGACCTACCGTCCGAGGTGTCGTCTCCAGCGGAGTATTACAACACATTACTAGAACTGGTAAAAGGTGTGTTAGATGGCAACACTGAGGCATCCGCGTACGAGGACGCGGCGAGAGAAATGTTTGGCATCAAGGCCTATCCTGCCTATACACTGGATAAAGTTGTTTCAACAGCTGTTAGACAGGTCAGTATTAGTTAGTGTTGCCAGTAGGGAAATTTTCATTATTTATTGCTATCGAGTTTTTAATGGTTTCTAAATCAATAATATTATCTGAGACAATGATGATAAGAATGCGATGTGCAAAACAGAATAACATTGTTGATACACGCATGCTGCCTTCCTTCTGATGTCTCTTTAAAAGTAAATAAATAATATTTAAATTCATAAAAGTTAACTATATTGATTAATTTACTATGGAATACTGAAAAATTCTTCATCATTTAGAGATTGTGTATGTATACGAAATAGTTTAAAACCCAGTTTCTGAATTAGTAGGGTTTTAAAAATTAGTTACGTAAAATAAATAAAAAGTATTACCAGCAAGTTGGGTCAGTTATAATTTAAAATCTAATATATAAAATTCTCGTGTCAACAATATTCGTTCCCATACTCCTCCGAAACGGCTCAACCGATTCTTATGAATTTTTTATGCATATTTAGTAAGTCTGAGAATTGGATACTATCTATCTTTCAGTATTAAGGGGTGTCCACCCCAATTTTTTTTATTTTTAGAACATTTTTGTTTTTATTTTTTATGGTACAGTACAAAAATACATACAACCCCTAATTTCACCCCTCTACGATCAACCTCTATTTTTTATTATTGTAGATATTTTTATTGAACTAAAAAAATGTCTCCTAGAAATAATATACATGACAAAACAAATGTTTGCCTGGTCAGCCAATAAAAATATATATTGCACTAATTCCCTGTTATATTTAGAATTTCCGTTTAATACTGTAGTTACAATTTGTTATTGATAATATGTCTTTTACAGCTCCAACATTGCGTATCGGAGAGTTGGTCAGTTCGTGCTGCAGAACTGGCAGCGCGAGGAGGAATGCGAGGTCCTCTTTCCTACGTCTATAAGGCTGCTAAATATCTACGACCAGAACATACTACCTTCCTTGTTAAAGTGGTATGTATCACCGAATCACCATAGACAAACATAGACAGATCAGATATTTGAATCACCATAGACAAACATAGACGGATCAGATATTTTTTTTATTTAATACCACTACAAATATTTTTTGTACCATTTTAAATGTATAACATAAGAAACAAATAATGCAACTTTCAATTAAGCTTTCATTTAATCACTTTCACAAACAACAATCAAAATAGTTTAAAAGTGCAGAGCTAATGAACAAATAAATTATAAATTAGAAAACAAAATATTAGCAAACGCAAGTAGTATTTTTGTGGTTTATTAAATTAGAAGCAATGTGATTTTATAAAGAGATTGATAAATGACAAATATTTTTCTTCATCTATCAAAATATACATAAAACAGCCAAATTAACATTGTATATATATTTATCTAATGATATATTATTTCCTCAGTATAGCGGCAACGAGTGCAAAGTGACGTTCGAGTTGTTGGAGCCGGCGGGTGAAGGGAGAACGTCACCGCAGCTGAATAACGACGGAAGTCGGCTCTCGCCCACTAATCAGGTAATTAATTACGGGAATTATTTAACTTGAAATTTGTTCTATGCTATGTTCACCAGGCGTTAAAGCTACAATTTTAAAAAGTCAAAAAACATTTATACATATAGGTAACACAATGTACACTTATGAACGTCAAAAAGGAAATGTACATTAAATGCCTCTAATTTTACATTTACTGCCAGTTCTCAAATCAAGGTCATAGAACGGAAGAGAAGAACTGGCAATAAACTTTTTGCCAAGTTTTTTGTTTTACACAATGTTTGTAAGGAGCTGCAACCATTACAGCATGTTCCACATGACATCTTAAGTAATTAATAACGATAGTGGGTAATTCTGACCACCAATTACACTTAATCCTGTTGTAGCTTCAACCATATTTGTTTTCCTCAGTGCGGTCGCGAAAACGGTCCATCTTCGGTGTCAGCGGCGGCCGCCTGGTCCCGATACACGGAGCGCTTCGCTCGCCCCGATACGCCAGCTCGGTACCACAAGCCCGTGTTTCTGAGGCGAAACGCTCGGAAGAACGGCGGAGGGGAACTCATAGCCACCTCCAGTACGGGGCTGCGGCATCAGCCGCCCACTGTTAGGAGGAGGAAGCCCTTGCGCCTTCACGACCACTCGGAGTGTACTATTTCAAATCCTATACGGTGAGTTAAATAATAATAATGAAACTAATTTAAATAAAAGAAATTATCTCACACATCTATTTCTGTATTGTGTTGTGAGTCTTCTGAATAAAAAAATAAAATAAATAAATGAAAGAGATCAATCATCTCATGTCATTTTTTGTTTTTGAGAAATTTGTGGACAAATGTACACTTGGAAAATGTACTGTAAAAAAAACCGTAGATGCTAGATAAAGATAATACTCAAATTACAAATCCTAACAATATCACATGCATATATATATATATAGGTCAAAGCGATAACCTCCTTTTTGATGTTAGTTAATGATCAAGAACCACTTTCTAAACATTATAATGAATTAAGTTTTATTAACAGTTTCGTCGCCTGTCGTCCTCACCAGTTGTACCGCGCGGGATGTCTGTCGAGCGCTCGAGCGTCCCAACAGCGTCTCTCGGCGACGAGAAGAGAGAGGTTCAGAGCCTGGCTTGCCTCCACGCAGAGACCCACTTAAGTCCACCACGCCCACATCGTCAAGATCGGAAACGGTACTCATACCGCTAAATCACAAAATCGATATTTTCATATCGAAATGTTTGAGGATCCACGCGAGGTGGATAGCGATGATCAGAAATGAAAGAATCCAGAAGCGCTAAAATAGATGATTAGCGGAAATGTCAATTATCATTAAAACTGGTCACTGACATTGAGATGAGAGATGTGAGATCGATATTGACAGTTGGACAAAATTTGAGCAAAGTTTTAAATATTGACACGAAATTGATAAAAATGTTTGATAAAAAAAAATATATTCAATAATGACTTGAATTATTCTCAGTTTTAACTTAGTAAAAAAATGTTCTAAATGAATCAAGATTTAATTTATTGACATTACAAACCATTTAATGTTTGCCTCTGGCAATGAACAAATTGACTTCTCTTAAATCTAATAGTATGAGGTGTTCATACTATATATAAGCACTACGCTCCGTCGAAGTCGGTTAAACTTAACCGACGTACATTCCTACACGCTTCGCTAACTATTTTTGCTTAAAATATTTGGAAGCGAAAACTCCGTAAATAGTCTCGTGATATTTTTGACTCGTTTTATTTATTTGAACTATTTTTCAAAATCTGTGCAGCTGTAATGGCTTACGAAGGTACTCTTTATAACGTACACTTATAAAGAGTGTTGTTTACTGCGTTTTTGTTTTCCTTTTGGAAAAGACGGAGAACGAATGATTTTCTATGACATGAAATTGTACATTAATTCTCCTTGTGTGTACAGCGTGTTTGGAAAAAGTGTAAGGTGTTAAAACCCCTGATTCGCCGACTTAAAATCCTTACAGATCTGTCAAAACACGCTGTATATAAGAAATTGATCCGAGTCATACAGGGTACTAAACTCGAATACCGCTATCGGATCGGTTTCTGCCGTTGGGTCGCGTTTTAGCGGCTCACGCTAGCTTTAAGTGTTTAGAACGATTGTATATATATGTTCTAAATGTACAGATCTCTAAGTACATGTGTAAATACGAGTGATTTGTTGATGAACCAATCTTGTTGATTTGTATGGAGATGAAATAAATATTATTATATTTATACTTACGGTCTTTTATTATCAATCCTTTTGCCTTAAAGAAAACCTTCGACTAAACACTAAAGCTACGACGCTTTTAATACCAGGGACACATTCATGTCCATGAGAGTCTCGGAAATTGAGAAAAAAAACTTAAAAGTAATAGATAAGGATCGGTTCAGCTTTTTAAATTGAAGAAACACGCCTAAATTATTATTAGCCCAGGAGTTTTAAAACCGAACGTCAACTTCGTCAACAAATTCACGTCAAATCGAACGTAAACTATGAATGAAACCATAACATGTCGAAACATGCCTTTTTATTCGACTTAAGGTTGAGATCAAAGTAACAAGTTTTGAATAAATAATATACGTGTAAGATTTCAGTCTTTTAATAGAACCATGTAACTGATTGAACTAACAATTAACTACGCACTAAACGAGACAAAAGTATTACAACTAATAAACATTCACGAAACTAAATTCTATAAAATTAGACCACCGCAAATTGGGAACCTATACTTCCAGTTTCCAACTGGTACTTATCTATAAACAAAAGGTAAAGATCTCCACAGTTGATGACCATCTGTATGAATATAAACAACAGATAAGAAATGTTTGTGAAAGAAATAAATTTTAGTGACTTTGGTAGTTGACTCCGGAAGCAATATCTGCATGGGATTTCTAGAAATTGGTTACAAATTATTCATTAAAACAGTCGCTACACCAACCCAAACTCGGCGTTACATCCAAAGTCGCTATAGCCACATTAATTTTGCACTAAAGTATGCTTTAAATTCAAGGGATATAGATTTAACGTCGTTATAGCGTCTTCGCAACGCGTTGAAAGCATTCAAAGATCTTTTACGCGACAACTAGCTTTCAGTAGCAGAGGATTTTCACATAGACACCCGTATTATCAGCGACTTAACAAATTTAATATGATGTCACTGTACGATCAGAGAACTTTAGCCGGTGTTACCTTCTTATATAAATTGCTAAATAATCAAATACAGAGCAGTGACCTCTTACAGGATATTAAAATTGTCGTCCCTTACTCATTCCCTAGGTCTAAGATCAGCAAAATTTTCCAAATCCCTTCTGCAAAAACCAAACTAGGAGTTCAGGTACCTCTCTTTCGATGTCTTCGATTTTAACGGATTGAACAGTGCTTATCCGGAGCTGGATATATTCGGTAGTGGGTTAATCGGTGAGAGAAAGCATTGTTGGGTTCCTATCTCGAACCTAATTCGCTGTTTTGCTGATGATATTTTTCTGCTTTACCAAAAATTTCTGGTAATTTTATTGTATGCTTATTTTATCTTGTATATATTATAATTGTATTTTTTAATAAAAATTTTTGTAACACTTATGTTTACCTAAATTGTCATACATTTTAGATGGAAGATTTTGTAAAATATGCCGTAGATTTAGTACTTTGAATGATGTAGTTAACTTTAGGTATAGCTAAATGGTCGCTACAACCACGGTCGTAAATCGTAATAAATGAAATCCACTGTATTTTGAGTTTGAAGTTTGGTATAATTAAAAGACAAAATATCTTGTACATATCTAAAGAATTTATATATACCACATATATTATAATAAATTGCTACATATTTTTCTTTACTATGCTCTCTTAAAATATTCCATTATTAATAGTTTTCAGTACCTAACAATAATTAAGGTTATAAATTAGACAGTTAAAAAAAGCAAGTTTATTTCCATTACGTCGATTTTAATTATTCAATACATTTCTTAAATTAATTTCAAATATTACTTTATTATAAATGCCTGTATTTTTTTCAATTATAATATATGTAAATGACTTTCAATTATAATGCAAATGGCTCTTAACTTAGAGCCTTCATAACTCGATAACAGAGGCTCTTTTATCTCTGCCTTTTAATAAATTTAAGAAATGTATTAAAGAAAAGCTGTGTAAAAAGGCTTACTATAAAGTTAACGATTATCTAGTTGATAAAAGGCACTGGGACTAGTGCTAGACAGGCTACTTCTGATTAATTTGCGATATTTGTTTTAAAATAAGTGTTGTTTGATGATTTGCTATTTGAAAAGAGTACCGAGAGTTTTCTCTCGGCCTACACCCTCTGTCTTCTTTGCCGATGAGTAGGGATGCCTACAGATTCAAATTTAATGACGTGGAACAAGTGATACCTGAATCTTATGTTCCATAATAAACATGTTTTATTTTATTTTTATGTATTTTACCTTACGAGCCTTAAAAAATGTCGATATGTCCCAAGTTTTTCATTGTATAAAAATGCTATGATACACTACATAAAATATATAAAAAACTTTACAAATGAGAACCAAGCCTTAATTATTAGTCAAAATCATGTATTATACTATAAAACAGCCTAAAAACCTGCAACAGTAAAGCTCTTTCTTTGAATAAACTATAAAATTAAAAATATTGATATTTTACCACTTCTAAGTAGTGAAAATTAAAGCATAATAAAAGAGATTTACGATGCAATTTACTAAATTTAAAAATTTAAATATCTTCTCTCATTCAGTAATTACACCACGTTGAAGTTGTAAAAACATAAATTTTTAGATTTTATCAAATTAAAAAATCCCGTCATTTATTCCAAACTATTTACCCAATTAAGCTTATGTTCATAATAAACCTTGGTATTTATCAATAGATAAAGCATATTGAGTATGAGAAAAATCGGTTTTAAATTTTGTTTACGCTATCGCGCTGACAATAAATTTTAAAACTGTAAAACAATGTTATTGTGAAGAATCAATGACAATAACAATTTTTATCACTATTACTTATTATATTCTATTAATTAAATATGTAGTCATCATGTACCTACTTGATTATAACGGGGCTTACTTTTTATAAAATCAATTAAAAATAATAAATTTTCATTAATATTTTTTAAACCTCTCTGAATCTATATCTCTGATAATTTTTTAACGACATTTAATTATAAATATAACTAAATAATTAAATAAAAAAATGGACTGACTTATTAATAATTGAATATAATTTTCAAAGCATCTTTTTTTTAAAATTGATTTAGTGATCTAAATTGAAACATACTACCAATTTTTTGTTGGGAATTTAACAGATAGCGGCATGTTTCCCACCAAGCTCGCGAGTTGTGTGTAAACTTTGAATGATAAAATAAATAAAACCAAAACACAAATTATCATAGTAAATCAAATATGTTTATATTTCGACCACATTATACTGCCCTGCAGTCACCTCAAGTTTGCATCTGCACATACCCTTTCTACAAGATTCCCATGATCATCAATAAAAGCTGCACAGTATTCGTCAAGTCGGTCACAATCAGCATTTGTTTTACACTGCAAAATCAGAGAACATTATATTTATTTTTTATTTTTTATAGACTATTAATAAATAATAATAATAATATTACAGGATCATTAATATACGCGTCCACAGTAACAAAAATGAGCCCACACAGGACGATTAAGAAAATAGCCAAAATTATCTTCGACATTCTTGCGATTTATTGATCCCTTTGGAAATTGATCTGGAAAAAAAATAATGATTAAGTTTTTTAAAACAAAAAATACTCACTTGTAAACTGTTGTATGTTTATAAATTCAAATTATTTATTGGGACAATCAATAATTTGAATAATAATTAATTTAATTTGATAATAACATTTTGATTTTTAAACCGTGAGCGAAAAACCATACAGAAGGATTTTCTTTTTTTAAAATTGATACAAAGAAAAAATTTAATTAATTGTACGATTTTTACAGCATAAAGAGTTCAAAACAAGATGTGGGCATGAAAGTTGTAATACAAGTGCGTACCTATCAATCGTACGTTAGACAACTTCGTGTAGTTCTAGATTTACTTTCAATTTGTATTGTACTATGACGAAGATTCAGTTAGGTTATATTAGCCTTTCTCTATGCTTC